GAAGACTTTCTAACTCGACCATAATATTCCTAATAGCAGGTTTCTTAATAAGAAGACACAGAGTTTTTCTACTCCATCAGCGTCGCCGTTTTCTTCGCGGGATCAAGATGACTCCGCACGCGAGCCTTCCCACGGACGTTACACGGATTTTGTAATTGTACCGATATATAATTAACGATAATTTAATTCAGAACACCCTTGCTTACCTTCTCGCCCAGGTTTCTCATCCGAATCGAATGGAATCTCTGAAGGAACGTTGTTTGTCGCGTTAAGCGAATACAAACGAGAATACCGCGTAGAGGACATCGCGAAAACGCTCGGAACATTGTTATCTAATTCTCGGTAGAACCGAGAGAGGCTGGACTAGAATCAGCAACCTAATTCCGTGGTATTTGCACGTCCGTTTGGAAAAATTCGCGGTCAGCAATTACTCTTGGCTAATTGGCACTGAACGCGCCTCGAAAATTGACGGTCTGCCGCGTGGAAGATGGATCAGGCGGCCGTGATGCAAATGAACTGTTCGATCCCGCGCGGAGATTCGTTTCTTCGAGACTGTTAACGTTGCATATCCAAGGATGTCGATTTATCGCGCCGGGTCTCTCGTTGGAAATTTAAAACACAAAAATTGGTCGAACGCTCGCTCCGATCGTCTTCGCGATAAAAAGGCAATCGAGACGGTTAATCATCGCGCAATATCTCGGGGCCCGTGTAAACGAACAGGCACAAGGTATGTTAATTTAGCAACCTTGGATATTCGTTGCAGGGTAACGCTGAGCGGTTTCGGCTCTTGTGACGAGCGGTTTCCGCTCCGGCGGGAGAGTCTCACGAAAAAATAGAAAGAAAAGAGAAGACGCGTTGCATATCAGATCAACGAGATCGGTGAACTAATCTCAGGCATCATCCTCGAGGAAAACATACACAGAAGTGTAATTAATCGATGTAATCGCAGTCGAATTTTGCGAAAGATATCGGGTTCGCCGGGCAAACAGCGCCGGCGAGGGACGAACGGCGCAGGAAACGGTTTCGAAACGGGCGAAGAGACAGGCGGGATTCTCCCTTTGGTCCTTGCCGATCGTTTTCACGGTTCCAGAAGCACAGACGTTGCGTAAACGCTCGGCCAACGTCCACCTTGCGGCCCAGGTGAAAAAATAACGAGATTAGTAGGTCGGAGCTGTCCGACACGTTTCCTGTTATCACCCTGTCCACGGGCGAATCTTCCTCGAGGACTTTACCTTGCAGGAAGATGAAAGTAGCGAAGCCTTGTCATCGCGATGTTCAGCGCAATTCAGAAACCTTGTAGGAACAAATTTGAGATTTTCGATAAATCCTGTTTCGCCATCCATTATTACTTCATCTCGTTATGATAACGTTCAACGATCTATTCACTGTATGCTAAAAATCTGGCACCGACTTTTGTAATAAAATATGAATTCATACTGTAATTGGTGCTCCATTGCGCAAGAGGATGTAGATGTTATCAATGAAGGAAGAAAATCTTGTTCCACAAAGGTTCGAAGTCACATAACCAAAAATGCAAACGATCCGAGTAGCTGTATACTTGGCACCAACGCAAGTTTCATTATACCGTTGGAAAATGATATAAATCTCCGTTGATCAATCGTGAACCCTGGGTCCCATAGATTTCGCCCGGCGGTGTATATAGAAAACGTCGCAACCCTGGTTCAAGTACGATCGTTACGACTGTTTTCACGGGTGTAAGAGCACGAAGGGATTGCGTAAGAGAAGAATCTGCGGCATCGCAGAAGTGGATCCCTCCCCTACCTCCCTGGGATCTTCTCTTTCTCCGTTCGTCCGGTGTGGGAGCCCCGGTAAAGAGGGGCTCTCAAGAACCCCCCCTTGGTCTTGCTCGATCTCTAAAGCCATATATATACCACCACTTCGTGGTAGCATCCTTCGAGAAAGAAACATTTGCCGGTAACACCGTGGAGACCGAACTCGTGCAACTGTAGGTCCATCGAGCCAGGACCGGTCAGTGCGTTGTGACCCGCGACTCAACAACTAGAATTCAACCTGAGATAAATGAACACCACGAGGAAGGATACTGCGGATTAAGGTGATTGGATACTCTACGCAAAGGTGAGCAGTGAGTCCCTTATCCCTGCGCTCGGTACAAAGTTCAAAGCAAAATTTCAAAAAGACCGTTTCAAACTGTCCAGCAAAAGTTGCCTTCTATGGTAGATCTCGCATTCGAAAGATTAAATAGATACTCAAATCATTCGTCAAAGACTCCTTCAGACGGATAACATCGTCAATTCTATTTTTCCTTTTTCTTTTAGATGATTTCGCGGTACCAAATTCTGTGCGTAGTCCTAACATACGGCGCGGTCTCGTTGTACCAGGCGATGGCGGTAAGTAGATCGAACCACGCGACCCAAGACAACAAGAGAAAAGAATTGAACCGAAAAAAGTCGCCGGGTTGCGCAATCCCCGACACCCGGCAGGGCATCATTTCACGAGCACAATGCCTTTTACGAAACCGGCGTTGAATTAAAGCACCGAAATTATTATATTGCCGGCGTTTTCTCACGTGCAACAATGACAGAGTTGGCACGGTATCTTCTCGCGTCATCTTCTCCAGATGGCAGCGTGAAGTAATTCATTAATTAACCCCCGCGTTGCGTGAACGTGCTTTCTCGCGCGCCCGCGACTTACGTTTCGTTAGACAAACTGGTTCGAGCGCTCCACGGAATTCCCCGGTCTTCCGGCCCGCCATTATTACGGCGAACAAGCGTACGCGACGGGAGTGGAGACCCGCGAAAACGTTGCGCACGCCCAACGATCCCATAGTTGCGAAACGCGAATTAATTCTTCCCAGCTACGCGCACGTTGCCAATACCGGTGTCCGCGATTCCGTCCGCGGCGCGTTCATTTTCACCGGAAACGATGACCGTGAACGTCGAAACGGAAGAAGGGAGCCAAATTTTCAATGCCGGCTGGCCAGCGGCCAGAAAAATGGAAATAATTAATTAATCCGCCGATCGCAATCGCGGTTAACATTCACGGTACGCGCGTCTGGAAATTCTCCTTAATCCCCTGGCGAAATCGACAGGTGGAAGCTATCGCGAATCGGCGGGGTTTCTCCGCAACGATCTACCTCCGATCGTCTCGATACATTTTTTCCGCGAGCGTTTCGAAAATTTCGATTCAACGCTTCGCGGTCGAACGCCGCCTTGATTGTCTTCGAACTTTCAATTAGATTAATTAAATAACGAAAGATTTACACGTACTTCACTTCTGTTCTAATATTTAACTCCTTGATACAGAATTCAGTTTTTAATTTCGAAATACAAATGTTCCATTTAAAAATAGCGTTGTAGCGGTGTTACGCCAGAGGTGATCTCACAGTGATAGGAAGTAATTCTATCAGTTGTACCTTTTTGTTAAGACGAACGGTAGAAAGTGCAGCCCTCCGAAACCCTGACCTAGCCGAATCCCGCGCGTGGTGGGTTACGTGCGATCGCCGTGCCTTCTTAACCGAGCGTCGAAATCACCGATCGCGTTGGGAGGGTGGAGGTCGCGGTTTGCGGTTGTGCGCGCGCGCGAGCGGCTGCGCTCACGCCTACCGCTGCTGGACGGGAGATCGAATACAAAGGCACGGAGATGCGCATCCGCTTGCGGGGAACAATGTAACCCGACTTCCGGTCAGACATCGGCACGTGCACGCACTGGACTGGCTCGATCCGGCGTTTCATGTGTCGCAACGGCCTCCTCTTTTTCCTCTCATCTCGGCCGATAGCCAATTGCGAAAAAAGATCCTGCGGATAGATCCTCGTAGAGCCACGGCGATCTACGCGTTCCCCCGTGTAGCTTGGATCATTAACCCGCTGTTCCAGGAGAAGGGCCCCCCTCGCCGACCCTAGAACCCTTTGTGCATCGCGCCGGAAGTGCATCTGTTTATCATGCGATCGCGGTCTCGACCTCTGTAGAAAAGTTCGCTTGTTTAACCTTTGCTTCGCGAAATTCTGCTGCTGTCTGCGTTCTCTTGGAACTGGAGGTAGAGTGCCTACATTATCGTATGAAATTGTACCTGAAAATTGCAAACGAGCAGCAGGTTTTGTGTAACTAGCGAGATAACCGATCAGCTGTATAAAATATTCCAGATTCACGTCGGTTGAGGTAAAACACACGCTTTCAATTTTGTTTGTTCACGATCCCGCGTTTCGTTGGCGGAATGCAATTGTTAGAGAATACATGCGGGAATTGTGCAAAGCGAGAAGGTCGAAGAGAAGCAAAACTTATGAAGGAAATTTTAACGAACCGCAGATGCACGAAAGGATACGCGATTCGGATTGTGCATCCTCGCTCGGTCCACATTCCATTGTGAACGACGATACGTGACGAAATGCTCTAGGTACTGCTCTTTCGACAGAGGATCCTCGCGGTGCAAACGGTGCTCTCATTAATTGCATCTCGCGAGCGACCGCCTTTGTTCCGACGGAAACCGAGAGATGCAATTCCTCGCGCAACACTCGTGTTTGTTTGAATTTAAATCACCGGCAACCGCGCGCTCGCCGCCAAATAATTAATGTTAATTAAGATCCTAATCGTTTGCGGGCGCATCGCGAATCAATGTTAATGCACGTTCCAGCAAGTGGACGGTTACACACCTGGTGTGGACTATCCGATCTACGATACCGTACCTTTCGGCCTCACGTTTACCTGCGGAGGCAAGTTACCTGGTTACTATGCCGACCCTGAAGCCAGATGTCAGGTAAATCGGGGGGATTTGATCCGCAAACTTGGGACATCAGTATATTTAAGATTTATTGAATTGTTGTTTGCTGGATGAATCATTTAAATTAATTTAATCCCTGTCTACTGCTGAACAAATTATCATATTAATATTGATAGATTCAATTCAAAATAATTTGAATTTCAATTAAAGAGAAAAAAGGAAGCTTTGCTTTTGAATCGAATTGATCAGATTCAAACGAGATACTTCAATCAAACTATCATTTTAATAATTGCGTAATGATTATGAACATTTCCTCAGGTCTGGCACTGGTGCTTGCCGAGTGGACGAATGTTCAGCTTCCTTTGTCCAAACGGCACCGTTTTCAGCCAGTCGGCTCGTGTCTGTGATTGGTGGTTCAAGGTAAAGGCCGGGTGAACCCTTTCCACTTAGTCTAGTTGCACTCTCCTGGTCTCTGCTGAAAACGTTCTCCGTTTACCGCAGGTCGATTGCAACGACTCGCCTAGACTGTACGGCATCAACGACGACCTGTACAGGGACGTGAACGGCAACAAGATCTAACAACCACCGGTGCACCTGTGAACCATTAAAACGCGGGCAAAGAATGCAACGTCTCCGTACAGTCTCTACGTTGGGCCAGGATGCGAAAGAAGAAACCAAGAAACGAACGAGGAATCGAGGATTCGTCCAGCGAGTTGTTGAGTTCCTAGCTTGCCGGCGGAGGGAGCGCGCGCGAACAGGCCGCTGCAATACTGTCGGACGCTAAATTCCACGCGATGGTAACCGACTGTTCCGAAGCTGCTGTTCGACATGTAGATAGACAATTTCAGCCGAACACAACCACACAATGCTACGTTTCATCCATAGGAATACCCATAAAATTCTCTACCGCACAGTTTGACACAACAGACCGATCCGTAATAGCTCTTATAACAAAACCCGACTATTCAATAAAACAATCAACCGATGCATCGATACCCAGTGTCTGTGTGAATCCGAGGGAACAACTGATGCACCGTGAACGGATCGCACGGTTTAATCCGATCCCGGCTTTTTTCGCCGCTCTAGAGAGCAACGATCCTCGCGATCCAACGGTAAGACCGAGGGAAAAGAAGCGGAGCACTCGATCCGACGCCGATCGATCGCGAGCAAAAGTCGAAATCGCGTCGGACAATTTCTTGGCATGATTGGACAATAGAAAGTGAATGGTTGTCGCTAGTCGATTCGTTTCCGATCTTTTCCCTTTCGAACGGTCGGCTCCGATGCTACGTTTTTCCGGCGGAGCGTTTCGCCACGCGCGTCTCAGCGCCGGTCGGTCCTCCTTTGTTCGTTCGTCCACGATCATCTCGTTCCACGAAAGAATCGACGGATCTCCGGCATGGACCGATCAGCGACTCTCCCGCGCATCCGTTAGCCGTCTAAGGCGAGGAATGTCGATCGTCGTTCCGTTGGTTACGTAAACGAATAGAAATTTTGGCGCGCCCACTTACGAAACCGATCGCTTCCGCGTGTGGGACACATTCCAGATCGCAAGGCCAAAGTCACCGAACAGCGCCGTTATGCCGATGACGTCCCGTTGCGGCCGCGACGCGATCGAAATACAAACAAAAGAATAAAAACGATCGATCGCGTCTTCTGGCCGGCAGACATTCGCGATTATCAAATGTCGAAGACGCGCATGCGATATCTCCCTCGGCATCACGGTCTATTATTAAGTCGAACACGCGCCAATGATGATGAAGAGGATCGTTAATATTTACACGAGACTCTTCGGTAAACACGTAACTCGTCAATATTCCGCGGGCGTGAAAACCACGCGACGCTCCCCGAGATGATCTCGGCTGTAAAATACCACGGGCGTATCCTACGCCCCGTCCTCGAATTCTTCGCGATCCCCTTTCAAAGAGCAACAGGCGTGTCGCGCGATCGCTTGCAAAAGAGGCGACAGTCTTTGGTGCAACTAGGGGTTGCGTGATCGTACGCTCTTAAGTGTAAAACGTACAATCATATTGATCTCTCGATCATTCGGTTCGGATCGTTTGAATGTTCTTTATGGTTGCCAGCGTAGTGATAGCTGCAGCACGATCGCCGGGCCTTATTCGTGCAAGGAAAATGGAAGAAAAAGAACTGGATGCACCGCCTTTGGACCTCCAGGCAGAAAGGACCCGTCGTCCTTAGAGAAAGCAGTCGACTTTGATGGAGCGTGCCAAGCAACTCGTACGGGCACGCTCGTTGTTTCGGTCTCGGAGGTTGAGAGGGTTCGCTGATAGAGGTTTCTTCGAACAGCAGTCTAGAAATAGAACAATCGCGTTGTTCGCTGTCACGGGACACGTTACGACGCCTTTATTCGGTATCGACGACTCTATACGCTCGACGGCAGCGACCCTGAATGTAATTTATTGAAAAGCCGATCGCGTAGCGAGAGTCGATCAGTTTTTAAAGCGCGAGCACCGTTCGGTTACGAAAGGATCGTCGCGCAAGCGTCACGGGAAACCGAACTTCCTATTTCTAAACGACTATGCTTGGCCGTCGCCTAACAGTCACGGAGAGGAGAGAGGAAGAGGCGCGCTCGCGATTCTTATCGATTAATAGGATCCCTGAGGCGCGATGCGCGCCCGTCGCGGGTCTCGTCACTGTTGTCCTCGTCGATGTCCTTTGTCGGCGGAGTCGCGAGCGTTCCACTTTCACTTCGTTTCTTGGATCGATCTTTCGAAAACTTTCAACGGGTCCCGGAGAATTCGCCGGATGGGTTCGGTCGAGTTGAAAAGACGCGCGCTCAGTGGAATCCCCTGAAGGCGCCGCGAGACCTTTCGCGGTCGATACGGATCCACCCTTCGTCTCAGTGATTGAAGACACATTGTCTGCAACGATCGGGACAGTCAGGTGTATGACTGATATCTTGTTTCGCTTCTAATTATTAATAAACTAACTGTGAAATTAACGCTTTGGAAAGTGATTCTCGTATCTAATGCATTTCCATTCCTAGTTTCAAACTTGCTAGCTGTTAGCGCGTCGCAAACTTTCTTATATCCAGGACCTTCTGGATACAATTTACCACTCGCTCATTTCACTGCGTAGAGAAAGAGAAGTGGCGAAAGGACATGTCAGAGAAAAATAGCAAAGGCAAGTAGGCAAAACACGATTGTACACTCACAAGTTACATGGATCGTTAGAATACAGGTTTAATGAAGAACCGCGGCCCCCAGCCGACGTGTTTTACATCTAACACTTTGTCCTGCCTCGGTATCCCAAGCGTGCAGGGTGAGGCGAAAAATCGTTGGCAAAAGCTAGTCACGATACTATCGCTGGCAGAAAATGGACGGCCTTCTAACGCGTGTCTCGATAAACAAGTTTGAAAGGTTTCGCAGCGCACCGCAACAGCGGCGGTTCGATTCGAGCGGCATTCGCGGCGGCTCGATCAGGTGGCGACGCAGGTGCCGCTCGTTCGCGAGCCGAGCCTTTCCCTCTAGCCGGGGCCCGATTTTTTCGCGGCGGGGGGCTACGCCAATGCGGGGCCCATCGAGCTGCGCCTATGACTCGTCGAGACCCCCTCCTCGACCTTATCCTCGGTCGTAGAAAGCTCGACCAGACGACGCTGGCCGGAGCACAACGCTCCTGCTGCTGGCTTTTCCACTTCCATCGCGCAGTCTTCTGGCCGGACCGGACGCGGTCTTGCGCGATTGGTACCTCACGAAAAATTTCGTACAAACCGACCACGGTTCTTCCACGAAACGCCCCCATCCGTTCCAAGTATCGACGGAGAGAGAGATACAGTATCGATAAGTGGTTCCTCAGGATCGGTCGCTAGCAGAGCAAAAGAGTAATCGCGGTGTACGGGTGTGAGAAATTGTATTCGGAGTGCGCCTCGATGTGAGGACGGTGCTTTCATGAGGGATTAAAAGAAGAAGGAATCAACGGAGCCGAGAGACAGGTCTGTGCGCTTTTCTTCCTCTAACGAACAAGACTCGCCGATCGCGGGCTCCTGCGCGGTGGATATTTTCGGGTAGCCGATCGGGCGCGAGATAGTCCAGGTAAAAGCAATTATTTCGCGACAAACCGACCGTTGCGGCCAGGCCGAAACGAGAGCGAACGGGGCGCCGCGGGGAGAGGGCGGCCCCGCACGCACGGGTTTCACGATCGTAACGAACGAGATCGGTGTTTCGATTATCCACGGCCTCGCTGTACGAGGGATTTACGTGATTAACGTGGCGAAAGTCGCGGGCAGCCTATTCGTTCAGCCTATCCGGTGCTCGGAGAGCAGTTGCCTTAGGGGCGACGAGACCCGATGAAATTTGGATTACTTAAACGCCGGTAATCACAGTGCTGAAGCGGCTGGCTCATCGCCGCGGCGCAAAGGCTTCTATCCGCTGGCGGAATGTCAGCGTTTTCTTGCGACAATCCCTCCACCACGTGAGCCGTCTCGCGTTCGAGCCGACTCGGGGCCCAGTATACCTCGCGGCTAGTGAAACCGCTCGGAACGGCTCCGCTCCGCCCGATATAGTCGAAAAAAAGTACAGATTGGAAGCGTAACGCAACGCTCTGGTATTTAGACGCGCGAAATTTTCGTAAGAAGAGAAAACACCGAGACCGCGACGATCGTGCTCTGCTGTTGCCAGCCGTCGAAACGCTTTTCTCCTGGTTTCGCGACGCTGTTTCACTCCGGCGTTGAGCGCGACGCTTCGAATTCGGAGCAGCCAAGCCGAGGCAGGCTCGAGAAACTCGACTCCGCGCGACGAACACCGCGCGACGCGAATAATCTGCGAAACGGACCGTCGAAGAATCGATTTCGGAGCAGGATCGAAAACAGGCGCAAATGAAACGCGACGGGATCGTGAAAGGACGAGATCGGGGCGGCGCGGCGGGCGAGAAGATAAAAGGCGCCAGGACTTTCGCTGGCCGTCGCATCCTCTCCACGTTTCGACGGGACGTTTTTACACCTCCGGATGACAACGAAAGCGAACTGGTTCTATCCTCGAATTCGCCGGCCGTCCAACTTTCCACTCGTTTCTTTTCCTCCCGCGGCTGCCGGAGAAAAAAGGAAAGAACGCGACTCCTACGCCCGGCGTGTGCCTGGGCGATATTTAATAAGGTGAAAGGAAAAAAATATCGGCGGTGGGTCCGAGCCGCGGCGGCGGCGGCGGCGACGGCGCGAGCCCGCTCGCGTTCCCTCGTGACTCCGGAGCCACCGAAACCGCGAATTTCTATCGCGGATCCGGCGCTAACGAGCTTCGTTTTAGGAAACGGCCGCACGGTGGGTGCACGTGTCGGAACCGCACCGCCGGCGCACGCAACCGTGTGCCACACGCATCAGGAAAAGCGCGCGTATTTCTTTTTTTCCTCTTCTTGCAGCGAGTTCCCGTTGACCTGCCGCGGAATTTTCACGGCGCCGCGCGTCAAGGAAACGAAATCACGGCAACACACGGACGTCCCGGCCGACGGACGAGATTATCGAAGAGATACTCGGGGAACGGAGTTACGACTCAATTCCGTTCTCACGTACTCGATCGTTCGAAGCGTTCCATAAACGCGGATTTATGCTTCCCGTGGTTTATGCCCATCGTAGAGCGCGGCCCGCTTTACCTTCCCCGGGTTACGCAAGTTACGAAATCACGGGATAAAGAAGAGAGCGTAATCGAGGCAATAATCGACCCACGCGCCGGATAATACCGGCGACGATTTTTATTTAGCCGAGCCTATGCGCATTAGCAGGGACCGTTAGCAGCGACAGGCCAGATAGACCAGTCCGACGATTAATCCTGTGCGTTTTCCGTAACCTCGACAGTGCTAGCAGCCGCTCTCTCCCTCTCTCTTCCTCTTTCTCCCTCGGTCTCTCTACCTTTCGTTCTCTCCTTCCTCCTTATCGCATTCTAACGCGTCCACGTTCACTTTCGATCGACAGATTCCGCGGCCGATTGTATACGTACCCGCTTGCACACACTCGAAAGTGAATTTAATTCGCGGCCTGCCAGTTAGACACGCCTAGTCGGCCTAATTACTCTCGCCAGGGCCACGAAATTGCGATCGGGAAGAAAGTGGCTTCCAAATCTGGCGGTCTCTCGCCGTGCGATGCATCGCGAGCGAAATACAATTCGGGGAATCGGGGAACGGGTTTCCTCGGTGAAGACTATGATTCAGGGTGAACGACGGGAAATGTACACGAGAAAATCGAGAAAAAAGCCGAGCAAGTGCCTTTGAAAATAGGAAACGAACCGGTCGTTCGATTAGCGGTAAACTCGAAGGAGACGCGCGCGAATCACGACGTTTCTTACGCGATCTTTGGACACTTTCGCGATCTTCGGACACTTTCGCGATTCCTGTCGGATGCGTGTTTCCGTCGGACCCCTTTCGATAAACAATATCGCGCGGGGCGGCGTGGCGCGGAGAGTTACGACACGAGAACGCGTTCGCGATCGAAACGGGCGGGCGAGCGAGCGAACGAACGAACGAACGAACCAACGAACGAACGAACACCGCACGCTCTGCTTTCTCCCGCTATACGCCGCCGGAAAAATAAACGAGCGACTTCGCCGTAATCGCGGCGCACCGCGCCGCCGGAATAGGCTTAATGGACGAACGCGATTCGCCGCGAAAACCGAGCGAATTTTCTGTGTCGGCCGGTCGGATGCCGATCGAGTGAATAAAACGAGACGCGCGGATAATTGCGGGTAATGGTGAGCGAGACTCTTTGACGGACGCGTAATTGGACTGTCGCCGATATTTCGTCACGCGTGAACGTCGTTTGAATTCATATGGCTCGACGTCGGACGAAAGGTTAACCCGCCGCTAGATGCGATTTACTCAAGTTCAATCGGTGCTCGAGAGGCGCGCGTGAATTGCAGTTCGACTAAAGTGGTTGGTCTCCAGAATAACGCTCGCGATGCGGTCAATCATCGTGAATGTTCCCGGGTCCGCTTCGCGGCACCGCTTTCTACTTTTTAGAGAATTACATCACGGACTATATTGCGGCGGATTCAATTGTATCAACCGTATTATTATTAACGAGCAGAGGAACTTTTAAGACAACCAGCTGCTTTTGCGGGAGGTCTTCGGAACACGTTCGTTCGAAACTAATTTCGTTACGTGTTACTTAATGTTAATGTATAATACACATCGCGGCCGCATCTTACCCTTATGCAATGCTGTACGGACTATGCATTAGTAATGTTCGCATTGAATAATTGCGGGATGGTAGGTAATAATAATATTCGATCCCACCACTGGTTCATGCCGTTTCCACTTAACAGCACGGTAATCGAAGGGTTTCTACGTTGTTTCTGCGGTTGTTCGAGGTCGCACTGCCTCGTAGGTGCTCCTTTTAGAGAGTCTCAATCGAAAAGAACACGACCGGCACGTCTAACGATACATCGCCGACCTCATCTACCTGTGTAACATTGGAAATTTATCGACTCTGCCGCGTTGTCGCCGTACGATTCCTCGAACAAGTGTGTTTCGAAATCCTTTTTCTCTATAATAGCGTCGCGAGTCGATGCTACCTTTGAATCTCTTGACGCGAGACGCGCGATAAAATATCTCTTCTTCGAAGAAACCGACTTTTATTCCAGCTTCGACGGGATCTTCGGTGATTCCCAGCAACACGTTAAAGCGGGTAATCAAGAATCTCGTGCGCTGAAAGAGGCGATCAGCCGGGGAACTCGGTGAAAGAGTCGTTCGCTTTGATGACTACGTACTCGCCTTAGGATAAAGCGAAATTTGAACATCGTCGCTTTCGAAACGGAACGAAGTGTGTCACAGCACGTTCTACGAGGCACGCGTGAATATTGCGCGATCGCCGCCACTTTCGATGACATCCGCCGCGTGGACTTGCACCTATCGCCAAATTTCGAATAAGAACGTGTTGAGTTGACTGCTCGCCGCGCTCTCTCGGACGATGCGATCTCCGATATGAAACGCGGTTACGCAATTGAAGTAATACCCGCGGTCCCCTGGACGCATCGCAATCATCTTCCACGTAATTGCGCCCGGAGACAGGCGCGAGAGGAATTTGCGACTGAAAGAGTGATCAACGACGAAAGTCGCGCTCGAATTTTCCCATCCAGAGGCAATACGCCGTGGTTGTTTGGTAATCGCTCGTCGAACCACGGTCCGAGAGCTCTAAGTCCCGATAGTCGGTATAATTTACAGACGCGGCTGTAATTTCCGAAGCGGCAGGAAGCGACAGTAAAATATCTCTTGTACGATTCAGCGTCAGCCTCGTTATGTTCTCTCGGCGAACGATTGTTGCCTCGGCCGCGACTAGGGAGAAGAAAAGAGACGCGACGAGTGGAGCCGAGAGAGGCGCAGCCACTTCATGACACATTAATTGCGCTAATTATACATGGAAGTCTCTCCCGGCATTCCTTTCTATCTCTTTCCATCTGGCAGGAAGAAATTCATGGAAGGTAACATCCGAGATCAGTGCGATTTCCGATTCCGGCGAGTTTCTTTCCGCGGTAATGGCTCGCTTGCGGTTTCGGAATTACGTCGAGCCCGGTTACAAAATTTTCCTTGGAACGGTAGCGAAATCGGTGCCGCGGCTCGACGAACCGAAAGCGTCTCTCGATCCTCGGCTTTCCTCGCGCGATTACGAATGTCGCTTAAATATCATCGGTTACCGGCGCCGTTGAATAATCGCCGCCTCCCGGACGCTTCCTTCGTCGCCCGTAAAATTGAAGGCGAACGAGATAAAAAACGACTGGACTGGCGGCCGGTATCGGGCCCTCCCATTCGTCGAAGACTGGTAAACACTGTTTACCCGGGAGCTTGCACAATGTGCCGACAAAACGACGCGAACGCCACTTTACGGTCGAATAAATTTTATTCGCCGGCGGAGAGTGAAATCATTTATTCCCGAAGCCGGTTCTCGCCGCGGCAAACGCGAAACCGCCTCTCACAGGGCCCGAGCGTGGCGCTCCACGAAAAACTTTGGAGTTTATCAATTAAAGCGTGGTCGCAGCGCGGCGGCTGGCACGCTCGATTCCTGGTTGAACGAACCAGACCGGAAAACCCGCGAATTTAGAAATCCGCGCGGTGTGCGCGCGATGATCGTTGCCTCGCCTCGCTCGGCGAACGATTACCGATCAATGGACGAGCGGTTACGTAAGTCGATCGCTCTTACCGAACAACGAAGCCCGACACCGTACTCGCCGATCAATCTCAGAACCGTGTACCTAGGTACTCCTCGGGCAAGAAGTAAATCGCGCCCGTAAAATTACGATAAAACGCCGATGAAGAATGGATTTCGAAATTCCGAGAAAGAGAAGTCGTTTCGTCAACGACTTCCTGCTTCACGTTCCGAAGCGTCCGCCGTTTTTTTCCTTACGGGCGAACCGACTGGATTCGGACAATTGTTCACGCGTTGGCTCGCAAGCAACCGATCCGGATAATCCCGGCGCCTTGACACGAAAAGCCAGCCAGCATTAAGGCGCAGCGATGCTCGATTTTCGTGTCTCGATCCGGTGGACATCGCGCGTTCAGCCTTTCCGACGGCTCCAAGGTCCTTGTTCGAGGGAGACCGCGCGGAATCGCTGAGGCGATCGATCCTGCGTTTAACCTCTTACGGTGGAAATCACTTGACTTGAGCAAAATTATAAAATCTTTTATATAATGGTGAGCTGTGTGTTCTGTCCTAAAAACCACAAACCGAAAGGTCAAGCGATTTATGTACTCTAGCTAGATCTCCAGAAAACAGTGGATCTCCTGTGCCGATTATAATGGTCATTATATGATCTGTAGTTTCATGATCGTCGAAATCCACTGTTAATGGACATATTTGTGGGAACTTTGAAATGTACTACTTTACATTGTAAATTCTGTTTCTTCCGAACCGTACGTATCCAGCAAATTTCCTTTCCATTTCCATTATTTTCCAGACACACCCAATAATAATCCACTTTTGTAAATCACGCCTATAACCCAATTGTTTTTCACCATCTCCGCGATCATTGCAGACAGAATTGTTTCGACATCAATCGATTTAGCTTCACCAATAGCAGCCGAGTTTGTGTTGGGAAGTTTAACCATTTTCGTAGCTTAGAATAAACGAACTGTTCTCCGGAGTTACTATATTCTGCATACATCGTTATACCTAATTTGGTCGTGATCTCACTCACCTATCTCGTGGAACGATACGACACAACACTTTGTATAATGCATCAATACGTGAAGTATTGAAACAAAACAGTTCTGTCTCTTAATTTATGTGTATTCTCATTGGTTAGCCTCAAAGAATGTCGTCTGTATCTCATCGGAAGCCTTTGAATATTTCGGTTGAAAGCTATCGAGTGCAAAGGGTTCATTTCGACGGGTTACGACAGAGACCACCGGTCGAATGGAATCGATCGGTCGCAGCACGGTCGCGCGCGTTCCATATTCCGCGAACGGGCGGCGGCGGGCACGTTCGCCTGCACAATCGGACACTTTCTACATACAAAGTGGCGATCCCTGTGTTAAACGACGTGCAAAACAGTAACGACGCAAAGGGAAACCGCATTCGCGGTCTGACGTGCCGATCCTTTTGAATGGACGCTGCGGCCGGGCATCGCGCGAATCATTTCAACCGTGGTTCATTAACAATTTAGGAAATCGTTAGAGGATCGTAAATAGAATCGTTCATGAATGGGAAATGAGCGAACCGCCGAGAGTTGTTTGAAGTGCATCATCGCAAGCATTAGAACACATAGGAATGTAGACATTAACTGCACAGTTTCTTAGTACAATATTAGAAAACCAGCACTGATTATAGGATGTCGCTTAAACATCACTCTCTTCGTAAAACCAGGACATTTGTCTGTAAAACCTACAAAGAACTGTGCGCATCGCGCGGACGTCTGACTAGATAAGTCTCGATCCACTGTGCGGACAGTGTTCTCTGTTCCCTAACGAGTTACGGAGCAGAAGATTCTCACGGAATGTATATTACGCCGGTAATCGCTCGGATGAGACGCGATGAGACACTTTCTACCCGCGACGTTGTAATCCGTAGACAAACCAGCTCGACACGCTAGCCATTAAACGAAGTAATTTCCGCGCGATCTCTTCCTCGATCGCGTTTTGAACCAACGAGCGAGAAACCGCGTGGCATTAAGATTTCCAAGGAACGAGCGTTAATCAACCGGTGCCTTGACCTCGCACGATTCCGTTGCGTGTTACGGAAACGGATCGAAAATACGCCGATCGAAGCCATGCCAATAACGTTACTTAACCATCATCTGAATCCGCTAGATCGGCCTCGGCGAATTCTACTCCCGCGAGAAAGTAAATGGCCTCGCCGGGAAAACGTTCCAGCGGAATGCCCGACCGAGACGATCGGAATCCACTCGCGGCGTACATTGATAAGCGGGCCGGCTGACTTCTGTCGGTTCCTTCCACTGCCGACGAATCGTCGCGTTCGCGGTTTCCGGTGAACGCGAGCCGCGTTCCTTCGCACCCGAGGCGAGTCGTAACGAGAACACCGAGAAGCGTGTATTTCTCACGGTCTGATTCGAGATAATTGCCTTTGTCGTGGAAAACTGGCGATACGCGAACAACGAGTCACCCGGGAAACATTGGAAAAATATGGGAAGGCTGCGTCGGATCGAGGGAAGACTCTCCCCAGTGCGACTCATCCGTTCGTCTTCGACGATTTTCCGGATCATGGAACGTCGCCCAGCGTTCGAATGGCGAACATAAGGAAATGAAAGCTTGCCAGGCGGCGGCCTGTTCTGCTTTTGAAGGCTATCGGGTTTCGCAACCACGCCTCTCCGCGTATTGTCGATCTGAAAAATTGCGGCTGCCACTCGCGGCAGAAAAACAAGGGGAAGCTATGCGTCGCGGAAACAATCTCCTACGAGCCTGGCTTCGATTGCTGAAGGGAATTTCCTCGGACACCTACGATCGGCGATGAGTCTTGCGCAAGGTGCGCCGAGTTTTCCGCAAATTGTCCAGAAGAAACGCGGAGTTTCTTCAAATAAGGGAAAGCATCTGAGAAGTACACGCGTTATGATGCGTTCGAGGAGCCGATTCAATCGTTTGCAACTGGTCGTGCCAGCCGCCGTTTCCGGTGACCTTTAGCGGGCGCGGGATGACCGTTACGTGTGTCGTAACGTAACGTAATTTACCGTAAGGTAACGTTACGAGCGTCGCGTTCCGCGGGCCGCGCGATAAAATGGAAACGTCTTCGCAACGGTCGTTTCGGAAACGGTACACCCGCATATCGCGGCGATTTATGTCATCTTGCAACCCGGTGGCGCTCGCGTGCAATTCGACGATAACGACGGTATTTCGCCAGCTGCGGAATGATTAAAAGGCGAGGAAACGTCGAAAGGTCCGCGCGATTTCCGGATACACAGGCAGACGCCGCAGAATTTCCCAGAGTGCCTGAGAACCGCGGTGCGGCTCGTGACACTGCCGAAGGAAAGCAACAAAACGAAACTTGTGTAACCGAACGGCCGCGATTTTCCATTAGAGAACTGTTCTCCTGATCCGAACGTATTTCGCTCGGACGCCGCTTTTACGCGAACGATAACGAGCCGTCTGTGAACTGGAGCGCGATAGACCGCTTAATTAATGCGAAAATATGCCGCGCCACCGGTCGAAAGCGATCGAGTGGTCTAGATTTTCGTGCGGAAACCGAGTCTCTCGCTAGGAAATGCCTACCGATCGATCTCGGAAGTTCTGCGCGCGAATTTCACGGGTCTAGCTGGCAAACCGAGAACGGTGCGCCGCGCGCAGGTGAATTTTCAGCGTCCCGGTCTGGTTACCTCCGTCGAGGCTCGAGGCGGGTTGCGTGGAACTATACACAAGAAGAAATCTCTAACGAGTAGTCAAAATCGGGTGCCCCGCAAGGTCGCTTTCACCAGATTCTCTTTCGACGAGGACCGAGAGATCGAAGGCCGCCGGGTAGGTTCATCGGAACCCGGTCGGCATTAAATATTTACCCGGGCCGGATGCTACTCTATTTGCTCGCACAAGGACGGATTGCGGCATCGAAACGATTTCTTCGTGGCGATCGCGCGCGGCACCAGGTATACACGGTGGCATCTCCGGTTGGTTTTTATCATTAATAGAAGCGCCTCGCGGCGCGGTGACGACAAAGTCACACCCGGTATTACGTGATCATGCATTTATATAACACCCACATTATCCTTGCATTATATGGTTAGCAGTGGTGACAGCACAGAGAAAGTTCCTATCCGTTCCCATATGCTCAAGTGGCTGCACGGGCTACGCTCGACGCCTGGTGAACTACGTGTCTCGATTATGCCCGGCACAACTCAATATCGTGGTTCCTAGAATGTCCACTCAACGCTTTGCGCGAATGTCCCTGCCGCATTGGCCTGGCAAACGCACCGCGACTGAAAAATATTCGCTGGCAAACACACTTTTCACGTATTTTCGTTTCTCTGTTGCAGTTGCACCAAGATGCGGGAGAAAAGGTGGCTTCTGCTCGCTCTGTACGGTAAGTGATGAGTTTACGACGCTTGCTGCCCGTCCAACTGGACGAGGCAGACGAATAAAATATTCAAGAGTCAAGCACAACGATTTAACTCGTGTCATTAAGAAAGACTATTATTCTAACGCGAGGTAGCTTGGAAATGCGAATTAACCCTTATCAGACGTCCAATTATACTGACTACCGATGATTGACATTCTCCAAATGAAATGTCAGTTCATTACGTAAAACCATATGTTCCATCGTTTCCAGTCGCAATTTAATCTCCCGTCTATTCATGCTTTACCATATTTTTAAAATAGCTTCCAATGCATAGGTAGCTTACTAAGTCACGCAACGACTGGCGAAGGTTCCACATTAAAAAGTGTAATGCCACGTATGAGGCGACGTCCGATAAGGGTTAAATATGCAGCGCCGCAGACAGCCTGGGCTCCGTCGATAACGTCGGAACGGACGTCGCGAGTCCTCGGGCGGCATTCTATGCGAGTAAAAGTCCTGCGAGCCGCGTGACCGGCTCGCGATAAACCGTCCCTTGTATTTTTGGACTGTCCATATCCGGAAAGGAATGCCGAAGACAGCGGTCGACCTTCCACCCGGGAGATTTGCATCGGCGGTGCTCAAGGTTCGTTCACACCGTGCGCGCGCGCGGAGCGAATCGGTTTCGGCCGGATGGGGTTCGACGGGGCGCGGACGCGAAGAAAGAGCCCGCGTTTCGTATGCAGGCCGCGCGGCAAGGGGGAGGCGCGTGACGCGCGAAACAGCCTCCACGGGGAATATTCCAGCGAGCAGAGGATGAACCGGCCAAGAATATAAACGAGCACGCTTCCTTTGTCCAGTCGCGGGGCGACCGGCTCCGAAATCCTCGAGCGAGTAAACAACTCGCGCGGCCGAACTCGTTTGGCCAGGGACTACGTGTACCGTTCGGTAGGGATCGCGCAATACCGGCGCGACGCGGCGCAGCGGGCAGCGCTCGAAAACGGCCACGTAACCCGGTGTTAACATTTAACGCGGATCCTGACATTTTCACTCGTTCGACGGCTGCATTCGACAGTTCCACCGGGGACTGTCGAGGCCTTCGAAAACTCGTTTGAAAGCTACGCAACGAACGATACAGTAGCGGCCTGCCGCCGACTCCTCGGGACCACAAAAATGTCCAGCCGCCGCGAGCTACTCCTGATCGGTCCTGACCTTCGCGATCCCTATGCCGATCCAACGCGCGATCCATGGTCAGCTTTCAGTGCAATACTTGGGATCGAACCTCGCCCTTATGCGCTGTAATATCTGATTCTTCGGTTCTCTTTCGCTGTCCGATTGAAATATGATTTTGCCCCTTCGATTTGCTGCGATAACCTTCGCTCTATGACGCTGTTCTCGATTCCTTTCATTGTCTTTAGTATTGGCTGGTTGGTTCTTAACTAGTTGTTATCTGGTCGGTTCTTAATCCCCTCCTTCTCTGTATCGTGAGTTGTTTATGTTTTTTTACAAATTCTCTTCCCCGAGAGAAACATATTTTAAAACAGCCTTCAGCTACACGTCGCCCAAGCGGAATATATATTGCGGACCGTGCACGAGCTTGCCGTGTTTACATGGGATCCTTGCGCAACGAGTGCAACATAGTAGCAGAGACGATAATAAACAAATGAAAGGGACAATGTTCGCGATCCGGAGCCAGCGATTCGAATCGACTACGCCCATTGTCGTCTCGAATGGGTGGAACGGTAACCTTCACACCCTTTTTATCGAAAATGTCAAGACGTTCCCATTCGAGCGGTGAATCGGACGGACACGATCGTCGGCCAGTGATACGCGATCGGGGCGAGGCAATGATTCGTTTGCAGCCGGCGTCGGCGGCGGTCTGTTTCGTCACGAAAATCCGTTTCGCCGTTTCCCGCGCGGGGCGTGCCCACGCGAACGTTTCCCACAAACGGAATGCGAGCGCGTTCCCATAATTCCTTTTTATGCAACGTCGCTTGTTATCGATCCCTGCCACGGAGAACAACGATCCCGTTACTCGTCGCTGGACCGCGCTTGTTTTTCAGCCGCGAGGACGCCCACTCGCCACCAAACGAGTCCCTGCGACAAAATTCTACTCGGCGATCGGTCGGGTGAACAGGATGAACGTGTGGAAACTCGAACCCGATCGGAAACAACACGGGGCGTGTCGAGGAACCGTGTCCAGACTGATTTATCGGTACCACTTTTTCACCGGCGATCGCCAAATTAATTAAAAACACGAAACATTTCACCCCCCGTCGTCTATCGGTCTATAGAAAGCTAGAAACGGCGAAAGTATTTGTTTTTTTTCGGCCTGTGGGACAAGTTACTCAGTCCAGTTCGATCCATTCTGGTCGATCGGCTGACCTTGAACCGGTTGGGATTAATTAGGCGCAGCTGGCGGGCAGAGATTCTGCGATAATGAGTGTTCGTCGCATTTGAAAAACAATCGTTCGCGAAACAAGCGAGATCGGTATCGCCTGTTACCTACCGTCGCGAAAAGAATAGAACGGGATCGATCGGGTCGCGTGTTAACCGGGCGACGCATAAATCAAGGAAAGCTCCAGAGAGAAAATGATCGATGGGCAGCCTTGATCCGGTTGAAAACAATTACCCAACCGAATGAACGAACGCGAACGAACGCGTTCACCTGCGCCGCGAAAATTGCGACACCCGCCGTGGTTCTTGAGCCCGTGCTCTTCTCTCGTGCTCAGCCGATTTCGCAACGCGGTCGCTTCTTCGCGGTTTACGCAAGCCCCCGGGAATGCGTGACGCCGGCCTTTGATTGTTTTTCACCGAGCCGGACGCGCCTAACTCGTCGTGTTCCAGTATTCAAACGAATCGAACCTGTCCAACGCTTACCTTTAACACGTCGAGTCTAGGCGTCGATCCCTGGGGGCCGGCAGTGAACATTCTGTATAGACGATGTCTGTCCCTAAAAGCAGGTATTAAATTTAAGGAACATATGTTTATGAATAATACGACATTGGAACATTTCTTCGTATCCTTTCTAAGGAATTTCATTAAAGCAGTGTAAACAAAGATTTTTCGTGTTACGTCTGTTGCTCGCGCGCGAACTCCTAATTGGAAAGCAAAGCAAAAAGAGCTCCGCGATTGCCTTTAAACGCCGCGATCCCGTATCGTCTCCAGACCAAAACGGATAGAGATCGATGTGGATCGCCGGCGACGATCCCCGAGATCGTTCCCGACCGGTTTCTGACGTTTCCTCCGAATTCCAGGACTCGTTCTGGCCAACGCCTGCTCAGCCGCGCTCAAGGGTACCAGGCCGAAATTCAAGATCGCCACTACCTCGACGACCACCACCACCGAGGAGAGCCCAGCCCACGAGAACGAGAACGAGGATGCCGAGGTAAACCCGTCGGCACCTGGCCAACGCCCTAAACCAGCTTTTCTCAAATTTTCCTGTCGATGTATGCAACGAAACGCAGTTCGCAAACTTGTTTCTACGAGCATAGTTCTTAGAGTCTTCAAGTATCGGTGGGAGAGTTTGGGAAGAGCTTAAGATATTCAGATTGCTTCCATCAGGATGCTTCGATCAGGTTGCTAAGATCTGACTGTCAGATAACCAGCAACGATGGCTCACGATTAGCATCATCGATTGCATTATTTACGTGTACCGGAATAGAACAGGGAGATCGTTTATCTTTGATGATGCAAATCCTGCCAGCTGCAGTCACGACTCCCCACGCATCTGTTTCTATTCTCTGGGGTCCTCTTCGCTTCTATGCAACGAGAGTAATTGGTAGAAGACGTTTCTGGGTTATCGGAATCTCTCTTAACCTCCCTCGCGTCGTTCTTTAATTGGACCACGGTGACGCGTGATCAATTAACTCGTAGCTAATTCTATCGGTCGAGATGAGCGCGACAGGTTCACCTTCGCCGGCAAATGGCACCGTGACATCATCGGATGAGCGGTGCGCCGAGTCCGCAGTTAAATGGCGTTAAATAGCTACCGTCAGCTAGAACAGTTTGGTCGGAGCGCGATTAACACGCGAACGATGCTTCCATTAATCTGTTCCAGTCAACCACGACCGCGACATCGGCGACCGCCGAGACGAACTCGACGACCGGCCACGTGCTCACCGGGATACCCCAGATCGATTACATCTGGGACCCGAATCTTCCGCGAGAATTGAACGGCTACAACCTCAGCGACTATCCGTTCTACAACAGCATACCCGAGGACATCGACTTCAAATGCGACGGGCTGCACGACGGATTCTACGCTAGCGTTCCTCACAAATGTCAGGTGAGAAGATCCTGGCTTCGTAATAATCACGTTTAAACATCGGCACCGATGCGGGGCTATTATTAGCGATGACAATGTTAATAACATTTTTCTTCGTCCTCGTTTTGTGTACGCGCATCCTCGTCGCAAGAAATTTAACGATGTTTTGCACCCAACCAGCCAGCCAGCGGTTCACCTTTCATCTTTCGCGTTTTGTTATTCGGGACGACTGCATTCTTAACAGAGTCAAGATTATTCGCTCGCGAAAAGCCTTGTCCGGCGAAGCGAAAATGGCGTGAGTCGCTTTTAAAATCGCGAGACGAAGGACACGCGAATCCGCTTGTGGGAAAGCACCAGCCGATTCTGGGCTAGACACGTTCTGCCGCGGTGATCAGCGGCGAACCTTCTTTGACTCGATCTAATAAGGTCCAGTTTCTCGAGGTAAATCGGTCTATATCACACAGCGGTGCTCACGGAATCTCCGGACCGCCCATATAGATCCCTGCCCACTCTCCCGCATTTGCGTAATGAATGGACAAGTCCCGCTATTGCGTTCGGGTAATTCGTTTAACTAGGAAACACCTGAGAGCGAACCGATTGCAAGGCAGTCATTTTTCATCGTCCACACCCGGAGATTTCGTTCTACTTATTTCCTCCTGAAGCTGTGGGTGAAAGCCTCGGGTAGTCCATTAGCCAACTAACCCAAAATTACGTTACACGTGGTAGATAAAAATGTAGAACAAAATAAATACCCAACTCGGTCCGTTGAAAGGATATGTAAGTATATTCGGATGTTCCCAGTAAGATACGCGAAGGAATGCAACTCTAACAGCAAGAATTAACGAGAGCAGGCGCTACTCGAGTGCCTCCCATTAAGACTCTCGTAATCCAGAAAACCTAGAAACTCGGGATCGATCGCGAGCAAGCTGGAGGAGTAAAAGTGGGTATCGTGATCGTTCTAGTGAAAAGGAAAGTCAGTGTCATCTGGACGAGCGCCGGAGAAAGATTTTCTGACAAGGTGTGTCGTCCAGTCGCATAATGAACGGATGTCAACGGTCCGTGACGGAGCGGTGTTGCCCTCCTTCGTCTCTAACGGCGGAACCACGGGGACAAGCGCCGATCGGAGCAGACGTAGGCGCCCGACGGCCTTTCAGATTTCTACCGCGGTGCCCCGTGACTACGGAAAACCGTGAACGAAAGCGAGTCCTCGAGCGAGAGATGCGGATGCAAAAAAATCGCAACGCTCCACGGCCGACGATCGTTTCACCGAGCGTCTGGTCGCGTCCGCGCCACGAGAACAGCATGTGGAGCGATGTGTGCGCGCGAGAGATCGCTGATTTGATCGATCCTCCGGGCGTCTATCCAATTGCCCGAGACAAAGGAGCCCGCGGCCAGAGGGGAAAAGCTCGGAGAAGAGTTTCGCGGTTCGATACGTTTCCCGTCCCTGACCGTTCCGAGATTCGAGCGGCGCGATCTCGGGATTGTGAAAGCGATTGCACGGCAGCCCCTTTCCGTCGCTCCTTATCGATTGTTTTGCCCGGGCTACCAACCAGCGAACGGCCCATTGTCATGCAAATGTCCGTGGACCTCGCTTCCTTCCCGCAGTCCGAGCCGGATACCGGCACAGAAAAAACTCGTCGAAGTTCCGCGCGACTTCGAGAAACGTTCCACGATTCGATGCAGGGTTCCGCTCCGCCGATATTCGTGACCGGCGGAACGGTTTCGGCTCAAGATCCTTCGGAACAGGGGATCGCCGGGCCTGACATTTGCAAAGGCGAAGCGTTGAGCAAGCAACGCCGTTGAACTGCACGAGCGGCTTGGCTGCGATGCTTGGAAACCGAAGTCCCGAGCAGTTCGAAGTCTTTTTGCCATGCAAATACGCAACGAGTCACTTCCTGTAATCCGGATTAGGGGACTTTCCAACGGACTTGCCGAAGCGCAGAGAAACTCCTGGACGGCATACGCGTGACCGGCGAAAATGACGGAAAACGGAGCAAAGAGAACGTCCGCGGCGAGAATTAGAAAAGAGGAAGGAACGCGCGCGTGTCCCCGGTGGAACGCGATTGACGCGGCGAGAACGGTTTCGAGAAACGAAACAGAGCTCGCTCGTGAGCTGGGACGTGCTCTGAATGATTCTAGATGATTCCCTGAGATAATCCGGTGTGGCGATACGTGTCGGACAATTGCGGATCTCCTTACAGAGACAAGTGACTCGTGCGCTTCGCATTGCGCGATGCACACTCGTGCGCCACGAAGCAATTACCCGCGCGCACGTAGCTTCGGCGTGAAAGCTGCGGGCGCGCGCTGTCTAACAGCGGCGTCTCGTGAAAAGTGTGTTAAAACTGTCGCTGTAGCTGGCCCGTTCCTCGCTTCGAATTTCGTTTCCTCGAATAACGGAATGCATGCTTTTCTCTCTTCAAGGTGTACCATCACTGCCTGTTCGGCACGAGATACGACTTCCTCTGCGCGAACTTCACGGCGTTCGATCAGAAGACTTTCATCTGCCACTTCGTCTCCGAAGTGGACTGCGCTAACTCCAAGAAGTACTGGCACAGGAACGACGCCCTGTACAAGGCTGCCACGACATCCACCACGTCCACTTCGACGACAACCACTCCAGCCCCAGTGGTACCCGCCGCTGGACGTCCATCACAGAGGGACAGAGACCCTCCGAGAAGGAGGAGACCCTTTAGAAGACGACCGGCGTACGATTACTACGACGAGGAGTATTACGACGACGACTATAGTCGTCCCAGGGGCTACGGCAGAGACGACTATGACTACGAGGATCGGAAGTACAGAAGGGATAGGGATCGTGAATTCCGAGACCGAGATCGCGACTTCAGGGACAGGGATGCTCCGAGGACGAGAGACACGGTCGCCAGGGACGACAGAGATCGAGATACCAGCGCCAGGGACAGATATCCGAGCAGAAACAATAGGAGAGACCCGAGCAGGTCGAGAGATCCTCTCGAGGAAGATGCCAGGGTCAGGCCTAGGGACCCTGATCAAGGATCAAGGTCCGCGTCCAGGGAAGTCGACGATGCGGAATTGGACGATCGACGCGGAGATCCGAGAGTCAGAGACGGCGACGATCGCCGGTATCCTGATAAGAGGTGGTTTGACGCTTGATCGATGGACTGCGGATCGTAATGCAAATATCAACTTTCTGGCTATCAGATTGGTGAAATTAGATCATGAGACTATGAGATCATCAGAATATTTGGAAATAATGTGTCTTATGATATGCATGAATCCATGGTCCATTGACAGTGAATTTTTCATTAGTTTTTAAGTGGATTGATCTTATTTTGAACACGATACCACGATCTATTCGTAGGTACAGGGATGAGTACGACGATAAGGAACCTGCATCCTCGTCAGGAACTTCTGGAGTGAGTGCAGATGGTTTGGTGAAGCCTGCAGCACCCGTTGCATCGGTCTACGCTAGGCCAAGAGCTCCTCCTAAGATCAGAAGACCGGTACCGATCTCTGAGCAGGACAAATACGCTTATAAGGCTACAGCTGTTCAATCGACAGGTAAAACTCTGTTATTAGAAGGTCCGAGTGGTGGGCTGTTGTATATTGATTCTTGTTTCATTTTCGTTTCGCAGAAGAACCTCGAAGACGACCAATGGACGCGGAAGACGATTACTACGAAGACGAAGAAGATTTTAGACCGATTCGAAGACCCCTGAGAAGAAGACCGTCCTATCGGGACAGGGACAGAGATTTTTATGATACCAGGGATAGGGACAGGGACAGAGATCGACCCTTCAGGTAGGGTGACGTACGTACACAACACTGATACAATTATATTCGTCTGTCGTAACCCATCGGCCCTTGGCAGGCGAACGTTTCCGACGACTGAGTAAACGTTGATACTTAAGTCCATTTAAACCAACGATCATCGATCTTTCCAGACACACGTTGAAGCTTCTATAATATGGTTAAAAATGGACTTAAGTATCCAAGGGTTGATCAGATCGAATCGATTACACGATATCGTACCGACCGATATCGCTGCACCCACAGTAACACACGTTCCTAACAATGCAAGAAAGCTTCGACTTCTTAAAAACGTTTCTGCGTAATAACAGTTACACCATACAGAGCCAACCTCCAAAAGATTGATCTTTGACATATAAGATAAAAGGACTTCCTACTTCAGGTCACGTTACCGAGACGAGGAGGACGACGTGAGACCCAGGAAGCACTCGGATCGCTCGAGAGATCGCTACTACGATCGAGAAAGGGATCGAGGTGCTGACCGCGGAAGAGACCGGTCCCTGGACCGTGGAAAAGATCGAACCGTGGAGAGACCGATGGATCGCGATCGAGGGCGGACGCAGGAAGCCGAGAAACAGGAGAGGCCGTTCTCGACGCGACCTGTCGACAGGGACCGAGACGCGGATCGTCCTAGAACCGGCTCGAGATCGAAGGATCTGCAGGATCCCACAGATGCGCCACCGAGAAGAGGCAATAGTTACGAGAGAACTACCACCACCAGCACAACCACGACAACCTGTCTTCCCGAGCAACTGTACCACAAAGTAGAAACGGACAAGGAGCCAGCTAACGATAGGTCTGAGAGACCAACTCAGAGGACAACGACCAGAGCGCCGTTGGAGGACGAAGACTCTCACAGACCTAGCCAGCAGGACTACCAGGAAAGGGATCAGGAGGATAGACGAGATCATGGTCAGTATCAAACCACGGATGAATATTCGCAAGAGTACTACGACGAGCCGGATGATCCTCCAGTTCCTTCGCCAAGAACAGCGGTTCGCATCGTGAAGCGACCGTTCCTGCCGTCCAGAGGCGGAAACGCTAACCCGAGAGGCTTGTCGCCGGTCGGTTCAAAGGCGACCACGCCTAGAAGGGAGGAAGACAGAGTGACGGAGAGGCCTAAGAATTATTATCCGCAAGAGGCCACGCAGGATAGCTCCCCAGAGCATAGTCAGCCGTCGAAACCTCGGCAGGAGGAGAAGGAAATATACGACGCGTACAAAACCGTCCTATCCGACAGTCAACGCGAGTCTCACAGACAGGATGACTACGATGCTTCTCTCGTCAGACCCACGGCACGAAGACCAACTGAAAGACAAAGGGAGGAAGAGGCGCAGAAGCAGGAAGATACGTTCGTCAGGGGACCGAAGCAAGGACAGCGCCAGGAAGACCGACAGAATTACGAGGAGGGACTGGCTAAATGGCCCGGAGAGGAATACTCGAGGCCCGCCCAAAATAACGAGGGCAGCCAGCCGGTTTCCTCTCGCGGCAAGGGGAGAGTGACCGAGAACCCGAACGTCTTCGGCGCGTATAAGAACGACGAGAATCAGGAACATCCAACCGGACCAGGGAACTTCAGGGTGAAGCAGAGGATCAACGAGGTGACCCATCAGCTGCAGGATATCCCGGAAAGCGAGTACGACGTCACGTTGAACGACGCTTTGACGCCGACGTTGAACCAGGAGGCGAACTTGCCTAGCGGTTTCGTGCTACCACTTCACAGGCAAATCAGTAGGGACACGGTTCTCCAGCCGTCCGAGAATAATTACAAGGTCTCGAGGCCCGTGACTCAGCAGCAACAGAAACCGTTCGTGCCTAGTCCTCAGTTTGTGCCGGCAGTGGCCAACAGCGACAGGCTGAGGACCGTTTATTACAGACCCGCTGAGACCATTCAGCTCAGCGGAGCGCAGTATAGACCGCAGAGGGGGCCGTGGCACGATTACACCGGTTACTGAACGGGCTTACACGGTTGATATTATAAAAGCTCTCGAGCTGACGGAATCGTTCGACCCTAGCGATTCTTAGAAATTCGAAAAAGCCGCGAAAGACGAGCGTTTAGTTTGCTCGTCTTCGAGGAAACAGTCGCTTCGACTGATTCCCTCTCTCGGTAGAAAGGAACACTTGTCGGACGCTTGGTCCTCGGTTGGTCAGAATTTTCGATGTTTCTCGTACACGAAGATCCTGGACAACGGATCATCGATCTTTGGGGATAGAAAATGAATACAAAAACGAATCAAATAATTGTCGTGATGTTGACAAGCATCGAGCGTAGCAAACAAGATCGAAGACAGCATTCCAAAAGAGCGATATCAATATCGATATTGTCGTTCGGTATTTCTTTAATTCTCTGATGCGGCGTGATTCGAATAAACCGATGATAACCGAAGAATGTCGACCGGAATTTAGTCGAATTCGTTTCTCATCAAGGCGCTTCTTCGCAATCTGAAAAATAAACGAATGAATTCGGAGATTGTACGAAATTCTTGGGTCGAAGGTGCGAGTCATCCATTAATTGTTTCTACTTTCGGCTGAGCTTGTAAATATTCGCACGATTATACGCCTGATTGTACCGTTTATATTCTCGCCTTAAATTATTCATGTAAGCGCCAGACACGTGTACACGGTTTTCTACGAAAGCACATTTGTCGCCCCGATTATGTATTTTCTTTCGATATTAGTAGCGAGTAAGCCTTCTCGAGTATACATTCCACATGAAATCTCTTGTAAATTATATCAACTGTGACGTACGATATTAAAAAAAAAACGATAAAATACATCATATACTCGACCTCTTTCTTTCTACGCATCTACGCATGAGCCTCAACCAGCAACAACGGGTATACCATTCGACTGTGATTTTCTTTATTTTCGTTTCCATGTTTATCGATACTTGTATATTTACAAATTCTTCGTTGCGGTCCGTTTCGACCCGGTGTCGGTGATCCGATTTTCGAGTTTCGTAGACGTTACGAACAATGTTTCGTTGTCAGACGGACAGACGCTACGTCGTCCGGACTGTTACTCGTCGAAAAAAGCCGAAGAACCGTACGTTCTCGCGATGGTGTTTGCCGTTACTCCTAATAGATTGTGCCAAGAGAATGCGATTTAGTCGATGACGGGTGTCCAGTCAAGGATAACGTAAAAATACATCACAGAATGACATTCACGCGCGTGCGGAGCATCGCGCGGGCAACATTCGATCATTCTTCGAAACGCAACGAGACGATGTTGATAGAACAACCTGACGAGAATAAATGCCGCGATAGGATGTTTCGATTTTCCATTTAACGCAGACGTGGCTAAAAGAATCGGTAACGACAACAAGATTCGATCAAATAAAACTGCAGCTTCGGATAGTAATAACGATCGAAAGGAGAGAACCATCAGTAAAACAATAATTCGCTAGTACCAGTCGCACCGTTCGAATTTGTACCCGCGAACTATAAAAATATAAAATCTCGTCGCCTCGCAATGCCGAGCGGACTAACGATTCCGGGATCGATTCTCGAGCACCGACTATAATCACTATGGTTAGCTTCTAGTGCAATAGAGTACTGTACAAAAATGATAGAGTACAAGAATAGGTTAAATATCTAATATATATCTAATATATATTTATATAACTCTCGCAAATGTACGTCTCGATAATCTTTCGCGACTGGGACGACAGCCTCCCCCATTCGCATTAAGAATATAAATATAGACAATGCGATCTCATCTTGCTTCGGTAATCACGTTTAATTAGAATTACAGACTATAGGAGAGAGAATGATTGGCTGGCAAGAATACGCGGCCGCGGAACGGGCCTAGGTTATTTACAGAATTTTCTTATATTACAAGGAAAAAGACATCGAGCACGATTACAGATGCAACGTTCTTTTGGTGTAGGTGCAGCAGCGGCTTCTAAATGTCTCGCGATTTGAAAGTTAACTCCGTTCGATCGTCGCGAAAATCGCATGATCCAATTTTCGTCGCTTTTAGATTAGATACATTATCATTTTAACAGCGATATCAAGAGAATGATCTGGAACGTTCCTTCTTTTTCCAGTGGATCGAAAGAACGATTCCGGTTTGAAATGATACAATTTAGTTTCGCAAGATGATAATTTAAATTCTGAAATTTCGTTGACCAAGTGACGTCAGCACACCATTCTGGGAGTTATCCTCAAAACAGCAAGACATTCGGAAAGAACGAGGAAACTACACTCGCGCGACATTCTTGGATATTCCCAGCGCCGTCTGAGCTCGCCAAATGCATATTTTAAGAGGTACACTAATAGGAATTAATTAGCGTGCGTTTAAAAAAATATCGGGCTCGTCCGCGATCGTCGGGGAATATCCAATGGCGTCGCGCGCGGCACGAGTCCCCTCGTGAAATCGGAATTACAATCCTTTACAAGAGCGCATTACGTATTATCTCTGTTTCAATGAAATCCGCCTAAATGTTTGCGCACGGTTGCGTACAGTTCGCCGGCAATCACCGCGTTCTATGCAACGTATATTAATAACGCGTTTAAAATTTACTGACCAGCTTCTTAATATTACCGTAAAAAATTATGTTTCCCGTAGGTCCTTAACTTTAAAAAGCTATCGAAAAACGCAGTCGGTTATCCCCAAAAGTCCCTTACAACCATTCTTGTGTAAACGGTGAGTCAGCGATCGTGTAAGTAGTAGCACCTTTATGCGAACAACTTGTCGAAACGAACAGTTTGCGTGTCAGAAATAGTCAGCGTACTAATGAACGTGCCTCTACATAGAATACATGAAAAAACCGCTACGAAAACGACGCGTCATAATTTCTAAAAAAAATATATCCGTTAAAATCCAAATCGAGTACACCTTACGACTAAAACAAACATAATTTAAACCAATAAAGTCATCGAAAGTCGTCAATCGATAAAAGAAACCGGAACGTTCATAGATCGGCACAAAAACACGTCTACTTACACTAACACCCCTTTACAATTAGCCTCTTAATTCAGTTCGACGATGCATTCATTCTCTTGTACGTACCTTCCTACCTAAACTCCTGCTCGATATGTATACAAAGTTACACAACATTGTTCCCTAAGCGTGAACAAGCTTCGAGGGGACTTTCACGCGCGCTCGTGACGAGTCCAGCAGTTAGCGGAATAGAATCTTCGCTTCAATCATCGTCGAGAAACGATTTTACAGTTTCACCCCCTACCCCGAAAGAAAGTCAGATTTCATTCAGATAAAAAGAAGAATCAGTTACGAACAGATAATGAATTTGCGTGGATCGATTGGCTCGTAATGCGTGTCTCAAAGCTTGCCGCTTTAAATTCCGCGTCGTGTAACTGAGCGTCCCCGGGCGGTGTGACTCGTGACTCGCGATCGCGAAAAAGGAGCGCGCGGCTCGTAGGAACGGTACGCGCGTCGCTAATCGTTGACCCGCGGCGCGCACCGCCTTACCCTATCGGCGGGTCGTCGTCGTCGTCGTCGTCCCTCGTGATCAGAATGTCGCCGTGACGATTCGGGCGGAACAGCCGGAATCGTTGCAGCCATTTGTACCGCCTCGCGCCCAGATACAGGAGAACCCCGACCACTATGAGGAAAGTCGGTATTAACAAACCGGCCGCTACGGAACCACCTAAAAACAGATTCACTGAGAAAGAGAGTGTTTCCAGCGGCAGCGTGCTCCATAGCGATCTCGTCTATGCGCGCAGCTGTTGCCTCGCTCCCGATAAACTTTATCCTATCGAACGTCACGGTTAAGAAGCTAACGCGACCGGACTTATCGGTCGGAGAAAACGACCGGATCAATTTATCTATCATGGAAAGTTCTCCGCGAAACTGTTTTCGAGGCTAGAGTCTGTCTCGTGACTCCCGCGGTCACGGAATTCCCGACCGAGAATCCCTTGGCAGCAGACTTCTTCGATCGGACCTCGTTCGAAAGATTAACCTTCGGTTGACGGTCTATTTTGGCTAAAGTCTTGAAAGGATTCAGCAGAGTTTAACTCAGTCTTTCTGCTTCTTATGGGCCAGTGAAGAATATTTTGAAAGATTCGGACGCGTCTAGGCATCGCCGGCAATAAAGTCCTGGAGATCGACCGTCTTCCGAGGGATTAGAGGATCCTCGCCCTGCGTTTCTATTTACCTCCAGACTCTGGCTGAGCGGTGGTCGTTACGAACATGGCTGTTTTGCGGTGGAGACACTGGCCATCCACCAGAACGTAATCTCTCTGACACTCGCACCTTGCCTCCTCGTTCACCAATTGCTGAACGCATCTTTCGTTGTGACCGCATTGCTCCTCTGCCTTGGTCACGTCGCACCGTCTCGCCTGATTCTCCACTGAAAAAGTCGGGAAGCGGTTGAAACCTGCCGGCAAGCCGAGCAGAATCGCGGAAAGAGGTTGGTTGGCTCGAGGACGAGCGGAACCTTGAACCCGGCGATCGATCGATCGATCGCAGATCGAATTGCAGCGACGTCGGTGTCTAAGCAGCGCGTTCAATTATCCTTCGGCTACCCGCGAGCCGAAGGTTGTCCCGGTTGGCAGTAAATTGATGTTGCACGCGATGAATGATCCCCGGCCGAGTAACGTGCGGCAGCAACGGCTGCTGGAGAGGATCAGCGGGGAGACAACAGCGTTCGATCGACGCGCAAATTGAAGGCGAGGTTAATGGATATGGGTGCGTGGGTATCGGCGAGGACGCGCGATAATCGCCGCTCGAAACCATGTCGGGAAGCGATCACCAAGATTAGGGGGAAACGGAATCATCCGAGGAAACAGAAATTATTCGCTTGCACTCCGATACATATGGTACTGACTCATGATTATAATTGAGCTGTGTTTAGGTGTTACGAAAGGCAACTTCTAATCGAATTAACGGTAACGCTCTAATCGTCATTATCAGCGGGTGATCAGATTACGAGCTGCTCGATTTTGACCTAGGTCCATTTAAGTCGACGTGGAACTGTTTACGACAACTGAACGACCGTTGTACCCGTCACGTTTCTCAATCACTGATTTCGCATTGTGTTCGTTATCTATTCGTTATCGGGTCACAACGTTGTCCCCGGTTGCTCCTTTTTTTCATTCCGTTCGACTACCGTCCAACAAAGGGACAAGAGGCAGGCGTCTCGGACGTGCGCAGTATTTTTGCGAGCGTATCGGGTCCGCGCGAGCCGAGATTGGCTGAATCAGTTAATTGAGACGAATTCATTTTATCAGACAGAATACAGGGGTTAACTACACCGAGGTTAAGTCAAGCAAATTAGGGGAGTTGCTTTTGATTTGCGTCGAGGGTATCGCATTAATCCGATAAACAACCGATTACGCGAGATCCATCGAACAGTGGAACTTGAGCGACGTTCGACGTTCGCGAGTTTTTCGAAGGGAACCATTAACGACGTTCGCCGCGCAACATCCTTCGGTTCGCCGCAATCAATTCGTACCGTTGACACGGGCCAATGAACTTTCGCGCGATAACGTCAAGGATTTCATGGCTCGATCGAACAATGAGTCTTTTCATTCGGCGTCCCCCGTGACGGCTGTCCGTCCTTCCCCGCTCGAGGAAACGCGCGGCGACTCCTCGTTCACGGCGATCCGCTAACGAGATCGGATCGAACCGAAAGAAGATTACGTAACAATGCCGCCTGCAACGTGTAGAATGTTCCGCCGCGGTCTGTCGCCTAAATTACGCAACCGAGCTCGCCGGAGAAATAGAATACAATATTTGTACGCGCACCGCGCGCTACTGTCTCCCGGCACGAAACTGTTCCGCCGTGTAGAATTACGGGTGCGATTAACGGAACTGCTGTGGGAAATTCCTCGGTTTAACGCGTCGGTTACCAATCGACTATCTTGGGAATCACGGATGCACGGGCAAATCGTTTTCTTCGGCCGAAACGTGATTTTCGGTGAATTCGCGAAACGCCGCGGTACGCGTTTCTCTTATCGCGTTTATGTACGGCGGATACGTGGACACCTTCTTATCGCATTGAGTCATCTTCGCGTTTATTGTAAACGAACGTCCTTGTAAAACGAATGCGTAAAAAAGTCGCGCGCGAGCGATTACGGCGAGCGCGTCGCGGCTGCTTTCTCGTTGGGCAACGTCGAATATTCTCATATTCCTTTTTCGCCTGTTGCGAAAATCAAATCGTTGCTTCATTTTTCGAGAGTTTCTTTCCCACTTCCCACGACTTTCTGAGCAACTTTTACTATTCCCACGCTCTACTGATGATTGATTGAATTTTTCGTTTGTGCCGCTGTGATTTACGCTTGACGGTTTACGTTCCGCTCGTAATTTATTATAATTTATGCGACTGATTCCGTTTACCATTCTATTTTTTATTGTTCGCTGAAGATTGTTGGACGAGATTTATGAACTTCATATACGGTATTGTAGTGGATTTTATTCGTATTTCATGGAGACTGAATGGAAAAGTTTTTACGCTCGGGGCTCTATCTTTTTATATACTCGTGGGGAATTCCCTGTGATGAGGGACTAAACGATCGTCATCGATGGGAATCCAGTAGCTAGCACGATCTTATCGGAGACGTAATTACGGAACAGCTAACCGCTTGTCTAACAGCACGTACTCAATTTGTTTTTTCTCATTGCTGTTCCGCTGAATTGCATATGATGTGTCAGAGGACTTCTAATCAATCATTTAATTAATCACGCCCTTACAAAGTAATACTGCACTTTGAAATTTTTCGAAAAGTGCCATTACGATTGCTAAGAAATTTAACCATGCCGGAAACGTTCACCCTTTACCAGATATCGTTCGCCACGAAATTACTCAACCCTGAAAAAGACAAGCCCCGTATCTTATCTGAATAGATTACCACTTATTTCCGACGCGTTTTTCGAGAAACTATATATCACCATTAAAACAGAACCGATTTTTCAATACCAATCTCGAAGACACGATCGGCGATAACTCTTTGTGAAACATGTTAGTCCCGCGAGGCCTTTGGCCTTTCTAGGATTAAATTAATTGTATTTCTAGCAGTATGTCAATCTCGCTCGTTAATGCCCGATCAACGATTGTTTCTTTCTAACAAGATCCATCTCGCTCGTAGCCGGCTGCGAGCCCGTCAACTCGATTATCAGCTGTTTCCTTTCCGAACAATTCCATACACACACTCGTGGGATCCGCTTTCACAGATTGAACGATTCATTCTGTTTCTGTGCTAGGCACTGATAACTCCAACGCCGACAGCTCTTTCTTCTTTCGAAATGACTTTGGCAAGACCATCTGAATGCTTCTTTCAACCCGTAATTCATCGAATTTCTACATAGAACCCCCGATCGATGTTTCTGGCGCGAGTGTTTCAATGTTACAGAATTTCGCGCAACCCTCGTGCAATGGACCCAAGCGAAATAATCGGAGCACGCGACGCCCAAAACTGTCGTACAGTCAGCGGAGTCTCCCGAATACAAATTCCGATTTGCCCTTACGACGAACCGCATACAGGGTGCTCCAAAACACGCGACTGCCGAAAACCGTCGCCTTTGATGTAAACATTCCGGCAACCGGTTGCAGCCAGCCTGTCCCGCCTATTTTGGAACACCCTCATCTAGACCAGCGGAACGGGTGTCTAAACAAGATCGCATCGCGGAGCTGTAAACGCAAGAATGACCGAGCAATAACGAGGATTCGACGATGGTCGCGGTGACCGTTAATCAATTAACGATCGCCGCACGCGGCTCGTTCGCGCGGCTTTCGCGTAGAATCGGACAAACATGGGAATAACGTGCGGTACGCATGAAACGTATCGGCGATGTAGTACCGAGAAACAGAGGACCGGAGGGGACTCAATTTCTGGACCAAAAGAAGACCAAGTGGAGAAGAGACACATGACGAGGACAGTCGCAGCAAGAGAGACAGAGAACGTGACAGAGGGAGAAAGAGCGGGACACAGAGAGAAAAAGAGAGAGCGAGAGATGGACGAACGAGAGAAAGAAGAGGAGCAAATGAGGGTAGGGGCAAAGGGGCGAAGAGAAGGGGCGGAGAAAAAGCGGAAGAAGACTATTGTGGCCTTAGCAGGGGTGACCCCAAATGGCTCGAACGAACGGAGCAATTTCGGGCTCGGGTTGGTGCACGGGACGACTCTGGATTTACTGCCAACAGGAACGAACACGAACGGTTCTAGTTTCGTGTGTGAATCGGCGCTTACCTGCATGACTGAACGGCGCTAGAAAAAGAACCGCCACGATGAGATTGCAAAACACATTGACCCGAACGTCTCGCATTTTCCTGCCTGTCCTTCCTGCCTTTCTTCCTTCCTTCCTTCCTTCCTTCCTTCCGACCCTTCTTGGCGATCCTGCTCGCGTACAGTTCACGATCACATAATAAACAAGTCGGCCGGTCCGTTCTCGACAGAGCACTTACTTCTCGCGGTAGTCGCGTTTACGCCGCTTCAGTGAAGAGAAAGAGAGGATGGAGATACAGAGAGAGGAAGAGAGAAAGACACACACGCAGAAAGGGGGAGAGAGAAAGAGAGAAAGAGAGAGAGGGAAAGGAGAGAAAAAGCACGTACAGTTGAGCCGTAGCGAGGAGAAGCTGGACAACAACGCGTCTCTCGCCGGGAGTGCGTGCTCGACTCGATGAGCACTGCGGTCGATTCGCGAGCTGGATGATCAACAGGCGACCGTGAACCGGCTCATCGCCGATCGGCCCGGCCGTCACCACTTTTGACAGATAAATGCTAGGCCGCGCCGTCGAACGCGTTCAATCATCTGTTATTAAACGACCATTTGCTATTATCGAAACCAATTGCTAATCGACCGGTCGAAACGTTGCTGTCTGCCATTCGATTGCTCGAGATATATCGAGCTACCCTACAGCGCTTGCGCGACGAAAACGGCGCCACGCTTGAAACACCGATGTTCCAAGCCTTTAACACGTTGAGTGCCATGGGGGTCACCGGTGACCCCCAACCAAATCGAATTACTATAGTTCACTCGATTAAACGGTGATTATTTGAAAACATTTCTATATCCTAAATAATGCTACCTAATGCAGTGACATTCGGATGAACATGCAATAATAATGCAATAGAATCAACTAATGTAATATTTTATTTTTTCCATTGCGTATGTTTTGCTCTGTGAAATTGTACGGCATTCAACGTGTTAACAATGTTGCATCTGATAACGTATCGCGCTATACTCATCGTGATGTATTTCTTTTTTATTACTTTCTTGTCTCCCGTTTCACTACAATCTAGACCCAATCTTGACATGATTTTATCTTGTTTCCAAAAAAATACACTGAATGACTTCGCATGATTCCAATTATTGTTATGCGATTTGGGGGTATTCGATAAAATTTGGTTCGAAGGATATAGATCAAGAGTTCGTTGAGAAGTTGAAAGAGCTCGCAGGACGAGTGTGTCGAGAGAGGTTCCGGGAGTGTTTTTGGAGCACCGGGTCGAAGGCAGTTTTATTTTTGGAGCAAGTATCCGTGCCGGTAGTTTGGCTTCTACCTGGTAGATAACGCTAGCAGCTGTCTGGCGGAAATCGATTGCTATACAGAGTATTTTTAAAAAGCAGAACCCCCACTCGGTCAAGCAACTTTTCTCGAAAAGTGCAACCGGGGATCCGTTGAACTTTATCGAACGACACATCGACGTCGAGGCCGAGGTGATTCCGCGGGCTTCGGGACCAAGCGGAGAAAAGTTGTGGCCGATCGCGCGAAACGAGGTGTATAGATTGCGAGTCCTTGAAAATAAAGTAGCTGCGATGACAGCGGCACGTGTCATGGCGAATAGCGTTGTCATAAACGAAAGTCGCGTAGCTTGAACCGTTCCCGGGGCAATCGAGACCGTTGATCAATTACAATAGCCGAAATGAGGGAGGAGACGGTGTTGAGCTTGAAGTGGCACAGTTTCCCGTCCCATTTAGCGGTTTCCCTAGACACATGCTACGAGAAGCAACAGTTTGTAGACCTTTCTCTGGTGTGCAAAGACGGGACGATCCTGAAGTGTCACAAAATGGTGTTAGCTAACTCGAGCTCGTTCTTCCGGCGTCTGCTAGTCGCGAACGATCATCCCCATCCGATGATCATCCTACACGACATCGAGGCCGACGACCTCAAGACTATCGTTAACTTCATGTACTGCGGTGAGATACAAGTGGTGCAGAGTGAGGTTAGACGATTGTTGAAGCTCGCTGAGATTCTGGAGGTGACTGGGCTCAGGCACATCCAGACCAAGGTCTTAGGAGGAGAGACCAACAACACCTCGCACGACACCACCAGGAAAACGACCACGGTTTCTCGGTTAAAGATCGAGGAGCCGAAAGGATTGACCACCAAAACTCTACCAGAACATGAACCAAATAATACTAGACCTCAGGTTAAACAAAATTGTCCGATCACCAGGACTGTTTCATCTGGCCACCCTCATAAGGCTGGAGCTAAACCTGTTCAAGAGATCATCAAGAAGAATGAAGAGACTACGGTGAATGTATTGAGTCAACGATTGGAGACGGGTAAATCTGGTATCAGTATTGTAGATGCGAACGATATGCCGAGCACCAGCAGAGGACTTCACAATCCTCCACCTCAGAAGAGAAAGGAACCTTCTGAGCCTGTTATCAGTTGGCCTAGAATACTGTCTGCTATATCCAAGGACAAGCCCTTGCCATTGAAAAAGTTGTGTATTATGGACGAAGTTGAGATCACTGCTGGGAAACCTCCTACGGTTCCTCAAGATACCAAGAGAATCGAGCCATTGGATAGGAGAAAACAGGGGACTAATTCTGAGGCTATTCAGACCATGAAATGTGCAGTGTACATAAAAGATGAAGTAGATATATCTCCTGAACTGGACGAAGACGAAGACATGGATCCCCTGGAAGTTGAAGAGCTCGAAAACGAAGGTCCAGAGGACATTGTAGGGCCCTCCCAAAGGTTTTCTTACACAAACATCGATCAAACATATAACACAGGCCCCCTCCCAGAATTTCCACCGAGAAAGGGGTCCAATGGTTAACAAATACAGCAACACGTTACCAAAAAACTGAAAAGATTATGCGTCAAAGATAATGCTTAGACTGAATAAAACTGTTTTCTTCATTGCAGATCATTCTTTAACTTATACATCTTCAAAAATATGAAAGTGTACACGTTAAGCATAATTTATTACCTTGTTTGTTACTTTGTTACACAGCCCCTGTTTGTTTTGTAATAAACTAGTTCAACCTAAATACATTATATACCGTTTATCCCAGCTAACGAACAATTTACTGTCGTGTTAGTAATATTGTACAGATATCTTTCTACCATTACACACAATTTGTAACACTATACTACACGTTTCTATGGAAACCTCTACCGATTAGACAGTCTCGAATGTAATCGGCTCCGTATCGCTAATCGTTTGCTCGAAAAATTGCGAGGAACACGAATCAAAAGTTATAAAATGCTGAAATGGAGGACAAAATAGCGGAAGGGCAAAAAATCATCGACGACATGACGGTTGATAAACGAGTAACAGAGGAGGAATTTCAAAATTTTATACATCGCGTCACGGAAGTTCGTAAGTATTAATTTCCACCAACGTCAAACATGATTGTTTACGTGTCTTAATGTTTAAGAGAAAATCGTGCAGAAATTAGCATCGGAGAACCCCGAGGAACAAAAGCACGGACAAATCCTCGCGGACGAAATATTGGAAAGGAAAACAGAAACTATGATCTCCGAGGACTGCGAACTGAAAGTAAAATGCAGCCGCACAGTGATCAACAAGTGCGCTAAAAACGATACTAATAGCGAAGAACAAATGTCTCAAGGTATGGAATCATTGTAATTCGTTAATTTACGTAATGATAGTCGTGTGAAATATTTACATAAAACTCGATGCAACAGAAGCGTTCATGAGGACCGTGGAAAAAGACGCGAAAGAAAGGGCAGAGAATCGAAAAATCAGGAACGAACGAGCAGAAACGTTCAAAAGAATCGGAAACGGGGCATTTAAGGAGGGAAATTGCGAGAAAGCTGTAACGTATTACACGAAAGCGATCGAGCAACGAAAGGACTCGTCCGTGTTATGGAACAACAGAGCATTAGCTTACATTCACCTGGGATTGTACGAGAAAGCTTTAGCGGACTGCGAGTGGGCGTTAAAAGTTCACGATGCGAATATTAAGGCACTTCTGAACAGCGCTAAGTGTTACAAATACATTGGAGATGAGAAAAGATATAAAGAATGCATTCAATTAGCCAGAGAGAGAAATCCTCGCTTCAACAAATTTATTGACGGTATTATTTTCACGTTTTAACATTTGAAACATTTCTATTGTAATTAAATTGTATTCGGTTGTAATTGTTCCCTTCTTACAGAATTCGAAGGAAAGATGAACGCGAGCACCGATTACCAGGTCTAACCCAATACGAAGTAACTCGGACGAAAATAACTGGATCTTAGTAATCTCAAGAAAATAGAAATATTTCTCATGTACTATGTATACTCCGTTTCGTAATAATTTAAAATGCATTCAACCAGTATCAAGATGAGCTTATTTCTGTCGCGTAACCCTCTTTGATCTCCGAGAGAGATCTAGGCTCATGCAGAAAAACTGTACACTCAATGCCCTGAAAGAAAATGATTCGTTCAATTATTATAATCCTCTCTAGTGCATTGTAAGTCTAACTGTACCTGCATGCGTGCTGCTCTAACGAATCCCTCGTTCGCAGACACGGTAATGCTTTTCATGTTTTCACCGGTGGCGAAAACTAATCTAGACCTGTCCTTAATTTTACCACCTAAGCTCAATCTTTCCATAATTCTGCCTGTGGGTAAATCATCGACGATTCGAACTCTGCTCAATAATTCTTTCGCTCTGAGAGTTTCCTTGGGACCACCGATAACATCTATAATGTTCATAAAGTTTTCGTAAGCAGTCTGACAAACGATCAGCTCTTTATCTTTGAATAATTCCTCTAGAATTGGTTTCACTGGTCGCTTTCTCTCCATTTCTGCTTGCTGAGTGAGCAATGGCTCTCGATAAGTAAACTGATCATACCCATTAGTCATGTTTGTTACATAAGCCAATAATGTTGATACATCTAAGTTAAGAATATTTATTTCTGTTGCAAGAGAAGAAGTGTTTAAGGTTTCCAGATCCGAATTAATACTCTTTCTGCATTCATTTGAAGATTCTTCTACAGATCCTGATGTATACAAGCAGGTGGAAAATTTGTCTTCTACTTCTACATCCAGAATAATAGATGAAAAGATAAATATTTTCCCTTGGCTTATTGTAACTCATGCATTTATTTGATTAGAAAAAATTTTATACCATGTATGCCTATGCTCTTATCATTGTCACCATCTATTCTGTCTCCTTCGACGATTACTCCCATTCGTTCCAAGTGTGTTGCTAACGGTATTTCTATACCATAAGCAAAATGGAATATTACATCCGGTGGCCTATACAGATGTGGATAACATTTGGCGCATTGCAAGTAACAGGTCGCTTGATCCAATACAGATTTCTGTCCGTATTCTCCATTGCCCATCGATATTAAAGTAAGTGCCCTGGCATTTCTGGCGATAACTTTTACCCACGATGCACCTCCATTGCATACAATGTCAACTTCCAATCTGGATTTCTGATATTTGAACGGCTTCATAACATTGGTAGGTTCGTTGGCACAAAATAACCGTGCCACTATCGCGTTTAGGTGGATCAAATTTGTGCTCTGTAGATGCTCCTTCTTTACATTCCCTGTAGATTGTACCTTTATGAGAACAGCGTACAGTTACAATTCTATTACTGTTAACGGAGACATATGAGAAACTGTTTTTAAACAATACGCATGATACCAGAGACAACGAAACATGAATCAGCTAATCAATGAAACTGTGCAAACGAAATAGAATGAACATATACACGTCAAAAAGAAAATTCCCCCTGTAACCAGGGGAAACGTACCTTCTCCAAAAATCTAATTTCCTGCTGAAACTTTCGTATGAGCTTCTCAACCCCATCGATCTTGCCCACGAGTTTGAGTCGATCTATAGTGGCCCTGCCACTGTAGATTTTTTCCTGAAGGCATTTCAAAAGCTCTGCCCTCTCCTCCATCGTTCACGATCAAACGAAACTCGAGAGATTTGCCATGGAAAATCCGCTTTTCCCCTGCCTATCCGAATAATTTCGGATAGACCACGACCGACGAGCGTAGTGTCAGCGGCCATCTTGCATCACGGTTCAATATCGCGTAATGTCGTCGGGTCGCTTGTCAAACTCGCCTATTAACCTCACAAACTTTTCTATTTCAACGAATAATTGACAGTCGAGCGGGACGCGTGAATGGTAACGGCACCGGGCCCCAGTGAAACGTGCGAGGCGCAGAACGACACCCGCGGAAACGATTCGCGCGTGCCAGGTGAACGAAAACGAGACTTGTTATCGTGCCGTAATTATCGCGCACTGTCAACATTTCTCTGACAATAACAGAGAACGTTCGGATATTTACGGCGGAAAATGTCCAGCGCAAAAATCATCGAGAATCCGGAAATACCAGGTGAGCCTGCCCCCGTTCGTACCGAACGAACTTCCTTCATTGATTCACGTTGTTCGAGACGTTTTGTGTGTCTAGCGAATCCCTCCTATATACGGAGCAAGTACGTTTCAAAGCGTAAATCTTCTTCGTGCATCGATCGTCGTGGAATATACGATATTGCCTCTACCGTTCGCGGATTAATTACGTTCTTGATATACGAGTGCTCGGACAGAACCGAAAACATCCCACGTATTCGCGATGGGCTCCATCGCGAGCAGCCGGATGCGACTTGTAGCATGTCTCCGCATCAGCCAATTATCCCGACAATTACTGAAAGAACCAAACTATCGCGGCCTACGTATATACCACGTACGAGACCCGTTGCCAAGATATCTCAGCAGCGGCCCTGGCTTCACTGTCGAATTTCATTGAACACTCGACCGCCCGAAATCAGCTGACGTCTTAAAATATAAAAGTGTATCGGACACGTGCGTGCTGGTGTGGGAAGCACAGGTTCATCTCTTGCCCGCCTTTCCGTTTCCCTTCGAACTTCCCCGAACAAAGGATTCGAGATAAATGGACTGCATACGAAGTTATTTTTATAGGAATGAGTGTTCTTCGAGGGATTGATAATGTTATAGAATTCAGGTGGAAATCTTTGGGATTTTCTTTTATAATTGAAACGTTGGAAAACGAAGTTTTACGAAACTTCGAACGGGATAGGAAATTATTGCAACATTGATCCTTAATCTTATACATTGTATCTGACGAGCGTGGTTGTAAATACATGTGGTTATCGAAGCGCGGCTTATCCATAAAGAATGTTATCGTGTATCGCGTGGTTTGCTATTACTAGATCATGAATATCCGAGTAGGTTCCCATTTCAGATCGAAAAATTACATTAAAATAATTCCTTTCGAAATCTTCGCTTCGATGCGTTTCTAATCGTTGAATTTACCGTATACGCATGGACGTCGGTGGTCTACTTATCGTCATTGACTTTATTCAATTCGCGTAACATCAAGTTTTCTGTAAATCCGCTCGATAAGATTCCATGTTTATCTCGATCATGACCGCCGAAGCAGCTCGGCTACCGAGGCGCAATGTGCAGACAGCGTGTAGTCGATGAGTAGCGATGGGATCGAGTTCTATCGAAATCTTCGTTTAAACTGTTTCGAATACCACCTAAATCGCGAACCGTTCACGAACACACAGGAAAATCCGTGGGTTCTAGTCTAACCGGATATTCTTCGAATAACCAATCTTAGCAGTAAAAATCATCGGGCGAAGATTATATTATTATAATTGAAACGAGCGATTTCAAACAAAATGAAAAACAGTCGATGTAATTTCTGACCGAAGATTCGCTATTACGCGAGTAATAAAGAAAACGATGGTAATACGAACACGCGTTGAATGAACTTGATCCGTACCGCCTACGGATAAGATGCAATTGCACCCAACGCGGCACGCAAAATGTATCTTCCGTGTTACCAATAAAAATGGGATGCATTACGGGCAGGGTCCCGGTCGAAATTAGGGAAATCAGTATTAGCTTGGTGGGCAATTAAATCCGAACCGAGGGCAAATTGCACCGATACGCATCTCGTCTTCCCGATATTTACGCCAGCACTTTATCGCCCCTCGTTTTCGATATTTTATCTGGTATGCATTTTCATGCATAGCTCGGGGCGTCCTTAAACTGTCCGTGCTTTTTATCGCCATCATAAATCTACCGCGTAACACAACCATTCGCCATTCATCCCCCTATGTATCAGTTCCACAACGGCTTCTCGAATCGGCGTCCTATTATTATTACTATTATTGTTACTATTCATTTTTAAACGTCTGACAAGTGAACGGTCTAGGTTAAAAATCCTTTCGCTAGCCACTGCGTCCAAAGGATTCCGCGAATCCTTTAACAAGGACCTTTACGATCTATCGTTCCCTAGGCGTGCCATAACTCTTTTCTAAGCGAAGATAGAAAGAATTGATAGGAAAAATGTTAGGCTGTTGTTGGACGACGCCGTAAACCATTCAATTTTCGACATGTCCCGCGTTGTAACGTCGCGAATGGATCAACGCGCCTTGCGCTCATTTTTCTGGCCGCGCCGTTGAAAGAACGGCTATATTTTACCCGGTTCTCAGAATCACTGTGTACGATTCAGGATTAGAATGTTTCCTACCACCGCCGCCACCACCGCCTCCCCCGGTCGCGTCGCCGAAGAACAACAATGTACAAAGCTCGATGGACCAACAACACCACCTCCACCAACCAGAAGCTGGCCTGACGGAAGCGGCGGCTGCCAATTGCCTGAACAACGAAACCCCCGCCCTGACCACGGTTCAAGCACCAGTCGCGCCATTCCCGAACCTTCCGGTACCGACGCCGTACATGATGCACCCGGCGATGCAACCGCAAACGCCCGGCCAGCCGGCTACACCCTGGTGGATACCCACCGACGCGGACACGACGGACCTTTACGCGCGATGGTACGACACGACGTACAAGGCGGCAGCCGCGGCCGCGGCGGTCGTCGCGCCGACGATACAGGTCGCCGGGAAATCGAAGAACAAGCATCACAAACGCAAGAACGAGTTCATCGATCCCGCGCAGGACGCAGGTAATTAGAAAACCGCTCCCGGCCCGTTTCCGAGCGGGAGCAACGCCGGGAAGGGCCTATCGCGTTTCGTTACGTTTTCCTCCCGGTGTGCATCGAATTATCGTTGAGCAATCGGAATCCAGATTCCTACGCGCACCGCTTAGCTAATTAAAGATTGATTTATGTTTTCGATTTCGCAGAGAAAGTCGCGAGCGCCCAGAGGGAACTGTCAGCGCTAATGAAACCGCTGAAATGCGATCTGTGCAACGCAGTTGTAAGCCCCGATTACTTTATGCGATAAAAAAATCACGGTTCGCTCTGTGTCGCGTGTGATCCGAGCCTGGTCTCGGATTCGTCGATCGCTGGCCCCTAACCGCGCGCGGTGCTTTCAGATGAACTCCACGCTGCAGGCTAAGCTGCACTACGACGGGAAGCCGCATCAAAAGAAGGTCTCCATGTTTCTGAATCAGAGCGTTAAGAAGCAAAAGACCGAAGACGGCCAAGTCAGTAGTACGACCAACGATTGGCAAAACTACTGCGACGTGAGTAATTCGAATAATATAATAAAGATCATCTGAACTTGATGTACATTATGTTAGCTATCACCTTTGCTCGTCTCTTCGCAGATCTGCAAAACATGGTTCACATCACAGACGGACGCGACGCAACACTATGCCGGTAAAAAGCACATTAGAGCGGCGAACGGTGGACGTCGTGCGAGGTACAGAGATCTTTATGTTGTCTTCATTAATTATTCATAGATCGATAGCCGAGTACGTGACACCAGGCCGTTCAATTGTGTAGGCCGTCGAAGAAGTCGCAAAGTCAAAGTCAGTACAATCAAATAGATCCCAGTGGCCGGTTTGGGATAGGGACGGCGTTTCAGCCGGAAGTGCAATCTGCTGCAGCCACGCAACCGGTTATACCTGAGGGTACCGCGCCGGTATCAACCCCAGTGGCAGCGACCCTCTACACACCACCGCCATATCCGACGCCGTTGCGTTGCGATCTGTGCGGAGTCTCGGCGAATCGCCAGGACCAGTTAGAAACGCACAAACGGGGAGCTAGACACCTAAGGATGCTCAGGCTGAACGGATTACCCGTACCGGAGCCTGGTAAGGATAACTCTGGCGATCGCTATACAGAAACTATCGCGAGATTCGATGTATATTCTTTGAATTTTTCAGCCATCGAAAACGAGACTACCCCCACGACACCTGGACCAATAGATTATTCTATCTACCGGACACCATCGGGTAAGAACAGGCCTCCACCTTAGTAGCTACGTTATCGATCGATTATAGATCGTTTCGTAAAACAAGTCTCTTGATGTGCAGTTTCGATCGTATAGCTCTGCACTCCCTCTCAATTACTAATGACTTGTAGTTGTTAGCTGTCGGATGTATAGTTATTTAATCGACGACAACCTAGCTTTATCCTCTATCCAGCTGTTAAAGATTCTACCCGATGAAGAGTACGATAAACACACTCCTTTGCTTTCAGGCCAGTATTATTGTGCACCGTGTAACCTGTCGTTAAACTCCGAGAGTATGTTCGCCCAGCACGTGGAGAGCAAGAAACACAAAAACCAGTCGAACCCGAAGTCCCCGTCGAACGCGGCGGTTGTGTCGAAGAAAGCCAGATTCAAGAAGAAATAAGGTCGCGGGGAGGGCCGCGCACCGAGTTTCATCGCCTGTCCATTGTTTTCACAGAACCCTTATGTCTCATTTTCCTGGTTACGCGGACGCATTGTCGTCGCGTCGTCGCGACGCGCAACGGTCTATCTGGAGAAACGAAATAAACCTCTTGTTCGATACAGACAGCGTATCACTTTGAACTCTAACCGACTCCTTGCGCGCGCGTCCCTCGTACGGAGGTTGAACCGAGGCGAGCGAGTCAGTAACCTCGCGAGACGTCGCCTGAGAGATCGGTCTCGGTTTGTCCCCCGTAATCGGCAATGATTATGAATTAATGCGAAGATAGACCCGATCGTCGCGCGACTGATGAGAAAGATAAGTCTGTTAGGGTCCGCGGAGACGAGCGTATTTAAATTAAATACCGATTAACTCTAAATTCGATTTGCAGTAAACCTGAACGGTTATTTCGACGGTAGCTCGTTAAACGTCTCTCGGAGGCAACGCGACTAATCGGCCACATTTATTCAATTACGAAACCATTAACTCGAACGCTCCGCGTGACGTCGCGTCGGTCCGCCATAGGGCCCGCGCTATAATGCCCGATTCGCGAAATCGCACACGCGTGTGTATACGAGCACGCGTTTATCGCGTCCACGTGAAATTTATGCGTCGTTCACTCTCCCGGCCTTCCACTGAATTTATGGCCGAGCGAACGCGCCACACCGAGGCCCGGCTCTCCTCTATTAATTACCTCCTAAGACACGTATGACGGATCAACGTTTTCAGCCTGTTTTTACTGTCACTTCCCGCGCGATGAATATATCTTTTGACAGCGGTGACCAAATAAAAATGTCGTTGTAAAGCATGAATCAAGCCGGGTGCTGGGGGAGGCGAGGGGCACATCGACGATTCACCCCTCTCTCCGCTGATACTGCCAAAAACGGTGGTAGCATACGCGTAAAAACCGCTACGATATTTCTCAAAGAGGAGATCTCTCAGCCCGAGGTTCGGCGGACGGCATATTCAGGCGGAATTAAAAAATTAGTCGTAGTTAGGACCGAGGATGAAAGGAATTCCTGGTAAAAACTTCAAGAGCACCTCCGAGCTATTAAAAGAAGACCAAAAATCTAGGTGGCATAGGTCTCGTGTCCTGAAAATTCCTACGGAATAGTAGGCTTCTTCCTCCCCCTTCCATCCGACCCTTTCCCACCGCCGACCCGACCGTCCCGTGTCTGCATTCCGCCGATTTTCTAACAAACTCGCGCCGCGGCAATTTAGCGGGCCGACTATTTTCTTCTGGCGCTTCTTTTTAGCTTTCCGTCCCGGTACTTCAACTCCCGCTAGTCCAGCAGCGGGCTAGAGATTAGGATCGTCCTCGCCACGGACTTGTAGATCGTTGGTTTATACCTGCGCTTCGGATTTTTATGACCCCTGGTTCCACGTTTAACGTGTCCCCTTCTTTTTATTCCTCGCAGCGTCCACTTCCCCGCTCCACGACATCACCCGAAATCCCTTTTCCATCTTCACGTCCCCTCGCCCCACCTCACCGCCCGAGTACACGCATACCTACGCGCTACTATTCCTTTCCACTGTTGCTTTTTACGCCCGGCGAGATCCACCGGGGACTGTTCATTTTGCGCAACATTAACCGGAAAAAAGGTGAGTAATAAAAACCGCTCGAGTAAGAAAATTTTCGGGGATCACGGCGAATCCTTGCGGTGTGGAATTAATTAACCGTCGGCTTCTCGGGCCTAGGAACAGGGCTAGGGTGATTCTTAATTCCATTAGTCGTGGGGCGCTAAATATTTAATAATTCGCGATCGATATCGAAGTCGGCGAAGTAAATATTTCTCGAGGAAATTACGAAGAGATAATATCGTTCAGTTTTTTTTAGAGCGAAATAACGATTCTATTTAAGAAGGAATAAATCTGTGTGAAGAAACCGTAGAGAGCGGATTCGTAACGAGAGAATAAGAAAAAGCGAGGGAACGGTGGAACAGAATGGCGAGCAAGTAAGAGGGATCGATTCGTTATGCGGCCAGGTGTAATGCGCGTAAAAACTGATTAATCACCGCGCGTCCGCTCCGAAATTCGGTGGAATTCCTGCCGATGACTGGAGAGAATTTCTGAGAACCTTCCGAGCCGGTGATTCGCTCCGACTGCGGTAGTCGGGGCACCATGACCGCCACGGTGGAACGAAACAGATCGAACGAGATCGATACCCGGCGAAGCTCGGGCACGAAATTCAGATCGCGCTGCGTGCCCGTGTTCGATCCACGGAAACTGCGGAACTATTTGTTCGAACGATCTCTACCATCCACCGTTTCCCCCCACTCGTCCAGATACTCAAGCCTTTTTTCCACCAATAACGCTCCTTCGGCCGAGTATAATAAATTTCTCTGCGGCGAAGTAAATAACCCGTAGGAACATATAAAAGCGGCCGTCGACGTGTAATGCTTACGAGCGGCGGTTATGAAGTTATTCGCGCAGAAATCCTCTTCCGTGGTCGCGTGGATCCACTTTATTAGCAGAACCTATCGATCGGCGTATCGTCTCGCACGGTGGCCACGCCGCAGCTATAAGATGCCGATCGATCGTACATACCAGCTGAGTCTATGTCATGTGATTCCCGCCGCAGCGTTCCTTTAAAAAACGCAAATCGAGAAGGAGAGTCCGGAAACTCTGCGAGACTATAGTTTCGGTTCCGCGTTCTCACTTATTCAAAAGCACGCTACGGAATACGAAAGAACGACCCCGCGGTGAACGCTACTAATTAAATGTCCCATTTAACAATTCCCTTGAGAATCTGGGACTGGCTCAATGCGGAATGCTCCCTCCCACCCGCCCTCCCTCTCGCGACAAAGAGAGATCTCTGCGCTCTCGCTCAACGACCTGGCAAAGGCGGCCGCGAATTTTCTTTTCGCGCGAACCTTCATTTCTAATTCCGCTAACGAACGGCTAACCGAGTTAGCGCGGGAAACGGTACCGACCCGTCGACGCGGCGCGCGAGACCAGCCGTTCCTTTGTCTCGCCGAATCCATTGTTCCACCTGAGAGTATGAATCGGTAAAAAACAGCCTCCAGGGTGGCACAGGCGGCTGAACGCGGGACGCGATTTCTTCTCCCCCTCTCCCGGACAAATTCGTACAATTATTTCTCGATTAGGAGAGATCGTTCGTCGGACGGCCGGCCGGAGGATCATCGGGTTGCCCGGTATTAAAGGGAGCAACGGGGAAGACGGTCAGGAAAAGAGACGGAGGGTACCGCGAGCCCCGGCTTAATCGCGGAAATTTCGCGGGGGGACGTATCCCGCTTTAATAAGACGTTTTTGCGACTGTTCGCCGATGGAAAAAGGGTAACAGTCGGCGGGACGAGGACGCGGCGAGACCGGACCAGGACGAAGAGACGAATAAAACAAGGGAGAATAAAAAGCGATCCCGGGGGGATGGCGGGAGAGGAGGCGCATCTCGGCGGGGCTGACCTTGCAGGTCTTCACGGGCCACCAATGTAGACCGACAAGAAAATAGAAAATCGTGCTCGGCTCCTAAATGCGGGCGGTGTGATGTCATGCGGAAATAGCCATCCGTCCGTCCGTCCGTCCATCCCGTTCGTCTATGCTTATATAGCTGCCGCCGCGCGACGGAGAAAGGGGAACCAACCTTTGGGGATCTTGATCGCTCGACCGATTACCTCGTTACCGGGCTTCCAAAGAGCCGATAGGTCGTCGCGACTGGTCCGAGCAAAAATATTTTCGCCCGGCCATTCGGTTAGAAATCGGAACAATTAAAACGGATTACAATCGACTCGCTGTTTTTCTGTTTCCTCTCTGTTTCTTGTTTCGCGCGGTAGTTATTAGAGCGATGAATCGATTTTGAGTTTCCTGTTGGCGGAGAACGGTCCCGGTCCGACGAAGCTCGAGTTACTGAACCGATCGGAACAGCGCGTCCCGCGATTATTCTTTAATTTTAAACGGGCCCGTCTGGCGCCGCCGCCGGCCGGGCGACCATCTGGTATCTATAAGATAGACTGCGGTCCCTCAGACTCCCGGAGATGATCGAAAAACATTATGATTCCGGAGAAAGGTCCAGTTACGCGTGGAATCCTTTCGCTAATTTATGTCTCGGTTTCGTGCAACAACAACTGACTATGATGTTCGCGTCGAGGAATAACTGGGATAGTTTTTAACCTTTCAACCTTTTGCGCCCAAGAAGTGACTCACAGTCACCACTAGATTTGATGTAGCAAAATTATAGTTTTACATGTAACATTATGCTTTGTATAATTCATCGATATGTGAAATATTGTGTATATTTTCTCGTTAGTTAGTTACAAAGAATATCGTTCATATCTCTCTCAACAATGTCGAATGTTTCTAGTGCAAAACTTTCGACTGCAAAGGGTTAATTACTGTACGGAACTACGGTGGCTTTCGTGTACATCTTTCTGAACAGTACGCCAATATAGCGGGACAGTTATTCCTCCATCATTGATAGTTGCGCACATTATAATCTAATTTAACGTAATTGCACAGTGGACAATTTTATCAGTCCCAATCGCAGTGATGTTACATTTATTATATGCGGACCGTGTCAAACATTGTGGTACAAAGGTACAGCTTCGAGGGTAATCTCACCGTAGCTAAAAGGTTAACATGTTCTTACCACGTACCACGGAAATTTCGGTTATATTTTGCTTACGAATTGTATTGATTTTTTAAATAAAATATTGACTCATATTCAAGTTTTTGGTCATTTTTATATATTTTGATATTGTTCTCTTATGTTTTCGCTGCTTTGTAACGCATACCATCATCTGCGATTATGTGTCTCTTAACACTAGATTTACTGACATTTACTGTACAGTTTGTTCTTTTTTTCTTAGAAAAATTGTTATCAATTCATTTAATCTTAGAAATTAAAGGTCTAAGAGTAGACAATTAGGATACATATTTGCATAACTGCGTTAAAAAAATCGACCCAAACATTTACCAAATAATGCTTATAAAATTCAATATGAATCAAATTGATTCGTTTCGCAAATCTAATGTTAAAAATATTTTCTTACAGAAATTTGAGTGTACCATGTATGACTGTGGTAGTCTCGACTGGAGAAGATTTGGAAAGTATAGTTTACAATGTTTAGTGATCTAAGCTAAAGAAGA